AGTGAACTCACCTTGCCCGATCCAAAATCTTGCGTTTAGTTGGGGGGAGTTCCCGGGAAAGTCGCCCCAACCAGCGCTTGGATGCTGTGGAGCAGTTGCGTAAGATAGAAAACGATGTTTTAGAAGTAAATATTGTTGTTTCATTTGGCTTGTGTTTACACTGGTGAACTTGTTTTTTTGGGCCATGCCTGGCTCTAAAGTAGTGGCATCGATTTATCTAATTACAGTAGATGTTGGCCTGGAGTTAGGCTATTGTCGGGCGGATGCTTGGCTGCTGCTAAATGGCTGCGGGAGATCACCACAGGCAGCGTGCAAAACGGGCAGCTTGCAAACTGCTGCTGAGCTGCTGCCAGGCTGCTTCTAGACTTGTGCTAGGCACTTGCTGCCGGGCTGGTGGTAAACCGTCGCTAAAGCTGAGGGGTTTCCAAAGCTGTTTTCTGGCCTCGTTTTGGCTTCGTTTTTGGCCTCATTGGGACCCCCGTTGCACAAATATTGAGTGGAAATGTAACTCAGAACCCCCATAGATTTGTTACCCAAACATAACAAAACAGACATGAATCATGCGTTCACTTGGTGTTTTGAGCCACGAGATAACATGACATGCTTTAGGTGCCGGGCATCTGAGGAGGCCCCCGCTGTTGTCAGTTTTTGACATTTCATTAAAAAACAACATCATAGACGAGGGGGGTGGGGGGGGTGGGGTGGGGTGGGATAATAACGTCATTTGCTGTACGTTCTCATGCACTTGCACACATACGTCATGCTACGCTGCTGTACGTTCTCATGCACTTGCACACATACGTCATGCTACGCTGCTGTACGTTCTCATGCACTTGCACACGTACGTCATGCTACGCTGCTGTACGTTCTCATGCACTTGCACACATACGTCATGCTACGCTGCTATACGTTCTCATGCACTTGCACGCATATGTCATGCTATGCTGCTGTACGTTCTTACGCACTTGCACACGTACGTCATGCTACGCCGCTGTACGTTCTCATGCACTTGGACACATACGTCATGCCACGCTGCTGTACGTTTTCATGCACTTGCACACATGCGTCATGCTACGCTGCTGTACGTTCTCATCCACTTGCACACATACGTCATGCTACGCTGCTGTACGTTCCCATGCACTTGCAGATCGTAGGGCGGGTGTTAGGTGGATGGTTATGGATATGTAAATGATGATGATGATGATGATGATGAAATTGCTCCTGATGCTAAAGTTTCGTTTTTCAGCGTTTTGTGGTCCCCCTGTAAAATGTTTGAGAAGTGACAACAGCGGGGGCCTCCTCAGATGCCCGGCACCATGTTTTAGATGTAATTTGTTGTATATATTTTGAACATAAGACTGAGATGCTTTTGCAAGCAAATATATTTAACCTAAACATACACGCATCATGCGTTTACATGGGGTTTTGATATTGAAACACGTCATTTTGTGTAAACACCCCCATAGTTTGAAACCATTGGGGCGCTTTGCGTTCTCATGGTGTTTTGCAGATTTGGGATGGTAATTTTGTTTGTTCTCTAATTTCGTGCTGCGTTTACAATGGGCGGAAGAATTTGGGCGACTTTTCGTAGCAGTTGGGGGCGTAGCTCCATTTGGGAATGACAGTTGACTGTAACGTTGGGGGGCTTTCGCCGGCATTGTGTACATATCCAAGCGCCTAGGTTTGGGAACTGTTCCCAACAGGGTGCGCGGAAACTTGGTTTCAGCACTGCTTGAAGCTTTCATCATTGAGAAATAGAATCAAAGGTCCATATATATATATATACAGCAAAAAAACATGCAAGGACAGAAACTTGGCTGCCAGAGCCAGAAACGGAACAGAGGCATCAACCAGGAACAACACAACCAGGAGCACGCGATCATGACCTTGAACCAAGGAGAAAAACACTTCAGTGGATGCCCTTTCATATATGAAAAAAAAACGTTTTTACAGTATATCCAATTCGAATTGTTTTTAATTGGGGCAATGCACGCGCAAGTGTTCATAACATTACACTAGTTTTTCACCTTGTTTTCCGGCAGTCTTAAAGTCCCAGATTTAAAAACAATTTTTGGCAGAAGGGGGTTGCATGCCCAAGCGTATAGCCAACATTTTTGACGACTCATGACTTTTGTGCCGCAGTTGTTTGTCACACAACTTGGTGTGTTACTGGGTGGTCCTGCAGCAGGGTAGCGCCTGTGATTGAATTCGCGCGTGCCCCGCCCGCTGCCATCCCATATGCATGCGGGAAAGAATTTGTGCCCATGCTTGGGCAGGCATATGCTATGCCGTTCTATGGTGTAAGTGTTTGGATTATGTTAAGCCTGTACGCGTAGTTCGTGTCCTTCCGCGCAGAAAAAAAGACGGCGCTTGTGTTTTCAGGGTGGGCAAGGTTAGGGTTGCAGTTCGTGTTACGAACCCGGAAATAATGTTGTAGAAACGTCAGCCTTCCATTCTTCCAAAAAATATCGTACCTCCCGTTATCATGTCCGCTCATTCACTGTCCTTTTTCGAGGAAAACGCATGTTGCACCCCCATCAAAACAATTAAAAACCGCATCCTAAGAATTGATGCCCCAACCTGCAGAACCCAGACTGCCGAAATTTAATTTTCGTTCACCAACCCTTGGGGCTCAAAATTGGCACTACGTAACCAAAACCAACAATTTTCCTTTGTGGAGCGTGACGCGTGCCACGCAGATGTTTTTTCATGAATGTTTCTAGGTTTTTCCAAACAATGGGTCAGCTAATTTTTTGCCTTGAAGTTCCTGATGAATACGTGGTGTGGGTGGACGGAACATTTGTGACATTTTTTGAAAGATCTTCTTTGCTCACGTGCCAACCCCACGATGAACAACATCAATTTGTGGCCCGAACCATAGCCAGCGCTGACCGGAACATGTTCGCGCATTACTTCAAAAAATGAGGCGTTCCACTACATTATTTGTTTTGGATTGTACAAATTTTTCACGGCTGCATCACGTTAGTTAGTTGCAACGCGAACAACTTGTGCTTTTTTCATTGTTCCAAATCATTTGCACAACATTTGGTGAAAATTTGTCGTGTGTGGCATGCCATTTTGCGCGCCAGGCGCAATATGTGAGACATTTTTGTGATTGCAATTGCCGTTTTCCGCATTGGCACAGGTGCGCGACGTGTGAGGTTGCTTTGGTGTTTCTTGCCGTTCGGCGTGGCAAACGCAGAACCTGGTGATGTTGCAGCTTGCCACACTACACTCCACCCCGCCATTGCACGTTCCACTCCACATTCCACGCTCCACATTTCACACTCCATACTTTACACTGCGCACTTCACATTCCACATCCGCAATTCACACTCTACAATCTGCACTTTGCACTCCGCACTTTACACTCCGCATTTTCCACTCCACACTACACACTTTACACTTTACACTTTCCACTCCGCACTCTACACTTTACACTTCGCACTCCACACTCTACACTTCACACCTTGCACTCCACAAGGTGCACTCTACACTTCACACCCTACACTTTGCACTCTACACTCAACACTGTCCACTCCACACCCTACACCTCATGCTTCGCACTCCGCACTCTAGACTTTTTTCTTTGCGCTCCACACTCTAGATTCTACACTTTGCACTCCGCACTCTAAACTTTACACTCCGCATTCTGCACTTTACACTCCGCACTCCGCTCTCCACACTTTACACTCTAGACTTTACATTCTGCACTGTACACTTTACACTGCACACTCTACAGTTTGCACTCCGCACTCTACACTTTGCACTTTGCACGCCACACGCCGCACTCTGCACTTTACCCCTTCCACTTTGCACTTCAAACTGCGCACTTCACACTCCACTCTTTACTTTACGGCTTGCACTTTACAATTTACACTCCGCACTCTACACTTTGCTCTTTGCACGCCACGCTTTATAATGCACACTTTGCACTCCACACGCTATTTTACACTCGACACTCTGCTTCCCAGTCCGCACTCCGCACTCTGCACTTTGCACTTCGCACTCCACACTCTGCACTTTACATTTTACACTCCACACTCTACACTTTGCACTTTACACTCCACACTCTGCACTGTACCCTCTACACTTTACACTTCACATTGTGCACTTTGCACTCCACAATTTTTACTTTACACTTTGCTTTTTACACGCCCCGCTATACAATTCACACTTGTAGGTCCACACTCTACGCTTTACACTCCGCCTGACACCTCAGCCTATGGCTCCGCACTCTAAACTTTGCATTTTACACTCCGCTCCACACTCCGCACTATACACTTTACGCTCCACACCCTGCACTTTGCAGTTCGCTCTTCACACTTTACACTCCACACTCTACACTTTACACTCTGCACTCTACACTACACTTTGCACTTGACACTCCACACTCTACATTTACACTTTAAATTTTACATTTCACACTCTACACTTACACCTTGCACTCCACACTTTTACACTTTACATTCTGCACTTTACACTCCCAACGCTACACTTTACACCTATACTTTACCTTTCAGACTCCACACTCTACACTCTACACTTTGCACTTTACACTCCATGCTGCAGATGTTACACTCCACACTCCACACCCCACCCCATTCCATACTCCGAAGTCTACACTGGTAACATCACAGGGGAAGAGTATATAAGACTTGTTGATGCTTGCATGTCCTTTTCCTAAGCATTCTTGGGTCCAGTCATTGTGCAGCAGTCACAGGAGTGTGGGGGATGAAATGTCACAGAGAAAATGTTTCAGTCGCCCTTGTCAGTGTGTAGTGTTTCGGCACTTTGCAGCCATGTGCTTGACATCGTTTTCATTCTGAATATGTTTGTGTTGTTTTATGTTCCAAACAGGGTGGTATGTTTTCAGGGAATAGACTGAATCAGATAACCCACGAAACAGACCCGGTAGCATTGCACTTTGAAGTGTTCCCAGTCCAAAACGGTTACAACAACAAAAGATACATCCTATATAATAGCAATGACGACCTGACCGGGCACAAAGTTCATGTGGCGAAGAGCTACTCATGTCTTGCGAGCCTCTGGCGTTCTGCTGGTGTGGTGCACAGGCTGCTCCAGCCATACGTGGTTTGGCGTATTGACAAGACCTTCAGCAGTCAGCCGGGGCGCTCACTGGCACCGAAGGAATGCTCAAAGGGCACTTGAATCTGAATTCACAGTTGCACTGCCGAGGCATCCAGCCAATGCGAAAACAAACGATTTGCTAGAGTCGGCAGAGAGATTTGCAAATCAGATATTGGCCAATGATACATCAGCGCAAAACCAAACTTGGAGGTATGATGTCAGCAACGAAGAGCGTGTTTATGCAAACACTTATGTGAATTTGGGATCTGCCAAAGTGGTCGGCTTTGACTATGACTACACCCTGGTCAGTTACAAACCAGCCATTTTGCATTTGATTTACGACCTTGCCAAGGAGCAACTGGTTGGCGGATTGGGGTACCCCTCGGAATTAGTTGATGAACTTCCGGGATATGACCCAAAATTTGCAATCAGGGGTCTGGCAGTGGATTTGGACAAGGCATGGATTTGCATGTTGACTTTGCGATATCGAGTCTCTATTGCATTTTACGGCCGTGAACGTGTGGATCCCAAAGTTGTGGCCAGAACTTACAGGAGCGAAACAGGATCTGGCATTTTGCCACCCGAAGAGCGCAAAAAACGTCTGAAACCTTTAAATGACTTGTTTAGCACAGCCGAAGCCTGCCTTTTGGCAGATGTGGTGCAGTGGTTTCGTGACCGAGACATTCCCTTTGATACGCGTAGTGTGGTGACAGATGTTCTTGCAGCCATCACCCAAGCTCATGTGTCTGGAAAGTTGCATCGGACTGTTTCTGAAAATTTGGAAAATTATATCGAACCTGATGGCCAACACTTACTACAATTCCTTGATCGTTTGCGCGCAGCTGGCAAGAAATTGATGCTGGTGTCCAATTCACCTTTTTGGTTTGTGAACAAGGGCATGGTTCATGTGTGTGGTGAAGACTGGCGAAACCGTTTCGATGTTGTTGTGGTGTCCGCAGGCAAACCCAGTTTCTACACAGGGAATCGACCCTTCCGGGAGGTATCCACAAACACAGGCCGCATTAAATTCAAACCCATCACTGCGTTGAGTCCTGACGAAGTGTACTGCCAAGGATCCATGGCAGAGTTGCTTCACTTGATGGGTTGGGAGTCCCACAAGGGCAGTGCTGATTTCGATGGCTCAAGCATCATCTACATCGGGGATTCCTTATTTGCCGACTTGGTGGATGCCCGTCGTTTGTATGGATGGACCACCGGTGCCATCATCCGAGAAGTGAGCCATGAGATCACGGTTCAGAAGAGTTTGAAATGGCAGCGGGCCTGGAAAGTCTTGCAAGTGCTGACGCTATGTGCCCGGGAATGTCAGAAGACGTTCATTGATGAGAAACATGTGGACAATGGGGAGCAAAGAACATCCTACTCCACGGCAGACACTGAGATCTTGGACAAGTTGGAAGATTTGGCGGCAGATTGGAGGAGTCATTTGGATGGGCTTCTCAATCCCAATTTTGGGTCCATTTTTCGCACGTCCAGGGACAACGGAAAGACTGCCCAACCTTCCTTATTTGCACGATGTATGCAACGCCATGTGGATTTCTACACCTCAAAGGTCGAAAATTTGCGACTCTACTCGACTGACCATCGCTTCTATCCAGCAGACTACTCAATTGGAGTCCTTCACGAAGTGTTGCATTTGACGGATCCCGTTTCGGAGGCTTTGAGCCGAGATCCGAGATCCACCGAGGCCAATTGAGGTATGAAATTTGCAGCAAAATAGAACTAGTAGAGTGCATGACTGTTTGACCTCTTTCTGTGTGCCATTTGTTCAAAAAATCTAGTGAATCTGACCTTCAAATGTGTATGGATTCTTGAGTGTTTGTTTTCAAAACTGTTGCTTGTGAAGCTTCAGCTTGCTGTGAACTTTTGCTAGCTATTGCCACACAAGATTTTCTGGCAGTATGTAGGCTCAATTTTTTTGGCCATGATTCGGTGGCATGGTGGTTGCAATGGAGAGTCGACTCCGACAGAAGGATGCTGGAAAGAAATGAGCAGGTGAAGGATGCTCAGATCTCCGACAGTTTTTTAAAGGACTTTGTGCTCCGGTACAAAATCGATGAGGCTGCAGCTGTTGCTTTGCATTCCCTGCCGTTGGGGCAACAGCAGGAGGTGACCGGTCAAATCACAGGAGCAACGAACCCCTCTGCGGTTCTGCTGTCTCGCATCAAACGGCTGAAGCAAGGCCTGCCTCCGTTGAACAAGGCAGCCGTGGCAGCTGTGGCAGCTGTAAGTCCAGAAGCTACTGCAGCTACTGGCCTGGCTGGCCTTGCTGGCGTTCCAGCTGTGGCCACTCCGCCACCTCCACCAGATGACACCCGTGGTGCAGTGGAGGCCTTTTTGGAGCGACATTGCATCAATGCCGATGCATGTCAGTCCATCTGGGAGTTGTCCCCAGAACAGCAACGCTTGGTGATGTCCAGCGACTTGGTGCCTACCACTGGGGATGCGTTTGATGCCCTGATGGATCGTATCAGTGAGATCCTCCAAGGCAGCCCATTTACGTGACGTTACGTGGTAACTTTGGGGCAACCCAGCAACCCCCCCATTTTTGGACGAACCCAATTCCATCATTCATTGGTTAAATCAGTCAACAGTTAAATCTAGGTTTTTAATAGTTACATCATGTTACATCCCCATAAGCCGATTAGTTAACTTATTAAATCACAATTTCTTTTTTTGGACAAACATTTATGGAAGTCACCTCGGTCGGATCTTGATTTTGAGCGCCCAGAGTTGGAGACCCTGGACATGGCTGAGAATCCTTTCTTCCAAATCTTCATTGGCAATTAAATAATGAAGGCCCTTAATTGAGTAGATCCAACAATGTTCTGGGGAGTATCTTGTAGTAGGGCTATTAGGGGAAAGGGAGTACCAATGCAAGTATTTGCTTGGAGGTTTTAAGTCTTGTCAGATTTTCAAGCTGCACGACTCGTTGGGATGGGTCGGAACCCCGGACCAGATATGGTTTTTCTTTCTGGAACACTGATATTCTGTGTCCCCTCGATTCTCGGAACCACCCAAGTGATTCAATCAATGCAGCAACTGAAATTCTGTGGCCCTGGATGTTTCACCCATGGTGTAGTGGGTGTTTCACCCCTGGTAGGAGCCAAACACAGTCAGTACGAAGCGGATCATCAACGGCATCAAAAAGTCTCTGACTTCCTGGCGCGCTACGAGATCTCTGCAGAAGTGGCCCTGGCCCTTCGTAGCTTGCCCTTGGAACGGCAGGTGGAGATCACTGCACCGGATCTGACAGGAGCCAAGAACCCCTCGGCGGTGTTGATGTCTCGCATTCAGCGTAAAGGGCATGGCAAAGGTGATGGAGTTACATCAGCCCGAGGAGAGGTGAATGGATTTCTGCAGGCATTTCAGTTTGATGACGATGCCAAACGATCCTTCCTGGAGCTAAGGCCAGAGCAACAGAATCTCATCATGAGAGATGATGGGGTGGGCGACTATCGAAGATGTCGCAACCCCAGCGCGTATCTCATGTCCCGGATCCGCGCTGTCAAAGAGGGTGGTCTACCTCCACCAGCTGTTTCCAGCGAGGGTCACTGGTGGGAGCCTCCCAGCAAGTCGGATGTGGTCGAAACCTTCCTGCGGCGCCACAACATCGATGATGGTGGCCGTGAGGCACTACATCAACTACCTGCAGAGTTGCAGCTGCGCGTGCTGGCGCACGACCACGAGATTGGCCAAGGAGGTCGGAATCCTTCGCAACATCTGGTGTCGTTGGTTGGAATGGCCTGGGCTAGGACTTTGGGACCTCCTGTGGTTCTGGGCACCTTGGGTCCTCCCATGCCTCCTTCCATGCCTCCTCCCATGGCTCCCATTGGCGCTGCCGTGACACCTCAACAAGGGGAACTGCCGCAGGCATCACTGGCCTTAGAAGCACCTGGCGAGGCCGCCAAGGCGGCCAAGCCGTGGGAAGCTGAGGGAGAAGAAGCACCTGCCAAGAAGAGAAAGTTGGAGAAGTTGGAGGAGGATGAGCAGTTGAATAACAGTTTTAATGACCATTTGCCACTTGCAGTTGAAGGATTTCTGAGACTCAATGGCATTGATGCCAAGTCCTGTCGTGCAATGAGAAGATTGAGCCCCGCTGCTCAACAGAAGTTGATTGGCATGGACATTCGGCACCGAAGAAATCCGTCCGCGTTTTTGTGGACACAGATTCAGAAGCTGCGAGACAATCACGATGATAATGAAGAGGAAGTCAACAGGCCAGAAAGGTACAGACCTCCACCAGTAGAGCGGCAGAAGCCTCCAGCGTTGCAGAACACTTTGCAGAACAAAGTGCAGAAGCCTCAAACTTCGTATCCGTCGAGATTTTCCAGACCTCCTTCGCCCCCCTCACCGCCCAAGCGAAGAGAGAAGGGCCCTAAGGGAGATGTCGCATTCTTTCTGATCCGCCATGGGAAGGGGAGCTACGTGCCGCCATCCGTTGAAGTTTGTGGCGGAGCGCCTTTGACTTGTGGCAGAGCACGTCATCACAATGACATAGTAGTGCTGGCGCAGCACGTTTCCAAGAGGCATCTTGAGTTTCATGTGCAACGTGGTTCTGCTGGAGAGCCTATCCTGATGGTCCGGGATTTGTCCTCGAATGGCACCTGGGTTCGAGGTGAGAAGATTCAACCTGGACGATTGACGCGGGTTGTCCCTGGTGATATCATTTCACTTCTACCACCGAATGGCGAGGATGTTCCAGCCTTCCAAGTTATGGAAAATGCTGACTCCGTGAAGGTCTGGTTCAAACAAATGTGTGGGGAGAATGATTTTTCGACCATTGATGTTTGATGGAAGAACGGAGCTTGTGAACCTAAGAAAGAAGAGTGTATCCCATCCAGCTCTTTCTGGTACAAGGTGCCCATAGCTAGCTTTAAGTAGGGTTTGTGGTAACTGGTAGATGTATCTATAGTTAGATGGCTGTATAAACCAACTTAAAAACTGGTGGGCAGCACCTTGTAGAGTTATACCGTTACAATCCAATGATAGCCTTCCTGGGATATGACCTAAGTAGACCTAGGGGTCGCCCTCAGGCTGAGCGCATGGATGAAGCCATGGACTATGCTCCCTTGGCCAAGCCGGTGGCACCACCTGTAGATGCTCCTGCTGACGGTGAGGTGTCTGAATGGATTCGCAGCATTGGAGGAGGCGGCAAACTCAGCAAGCGGTTGATAGAGGAAATTGAGGATTCCTATGATCACTTGCGGCAGATTTCAGAAAATTACAGGCTGGGGGGTTCAAAATGTTCAAACTGGGGCCCTTTTCTGTCGCAACTTCCCCTCTAATGAAAATACACGCCTTGTGTTGAACAGCTGTTCCGATCGTTTCAAGGCAGAACATCAACGAGTTTCTGGATGTCCATGCTGTGGAGGATGCGGATGAACAGGAGGTTCTGTGGGTCGCAGTTTCTGCATTGTGCTCGTGGAACGAAAAGTAGAACACCCAAAGAAGCGCCCGAGAAAAGACTGCCTTGAGCTTGATGCATCCAGTGATCCTGCACCTATTCCACCGAGTTTGGAGAATGTGGAGAATTTGCAGAATTCAGGAGCATCCTGAGATCTCAGGGATACATTGCTAGTTGTGAGGTGATACCTTAATCTCGAGGGTCAGGTTGAAGCATATCACATACAGATGACTTCACATCTGATCAGAGTTCATTTGGTTCTGCTACTGCCGCCTGGGCTCAAGGTCCCCGTTTCTAGTCACACCCAGAGCCATGGACAAGGCACTTGTGAAAGACATCGAATATGAAAGTGGGCTTGGCTGTGCTTGCTGACATTGATTTTTTAAAGTGTTTCTAGGGACTTTTAGGTTGATGAGTTGAGTAGAAATCAGTCTGAACCCTTGCAGTTGTTGATCTGAGGCAAGTTCAATCCGGAGACCGGCCTTTCAGTCCCCCAGGCAGCTATTTGGATGGTGTTCATCACCATCTTCATGGATACCCTGGCCGCGACCATTTCCACTCCAGCACTCCCCTACTATGCAAGATCCTTTCATGTAAACAACGCAGCAGTTGGCTACTTGTATGCTGCTCGGAGCTGTTGATCAGTTTGCCTTCATGGTTTACACCTTCCAAGTCACATTACCCAGTTGTAAGTCTGCACAATGCACATGCATCCCTTGGTTCATGGCAGACATTCAATTGCTTAGGGATCTTAGGGCACCCCGCCTTCATGATGATGTTGCCATTCGGTGCATCACCTGAGGCTTCCTGGAGTTTCACCTCGGCCTTCTGTGCACCTGTCCTAGGCCAGCTGGCTGATAAGTTTGGCCGACGCAGCGTGCTGCTGGCCTCTCTGCTAGGTGCTGGGCTGGCGAACCTGGGCCAGGCCTGTGCAGGCACCTACTACCAGCTGCTGGGCTGGAGAGCCTTCTCGGGGATCTGGGCGGCAGTTGGGAACTCGGCACAGGTTTATCTCAGTGACGTTTGTTCCCCCTTGGTCTTGCCGGATTTCATGTCAAAGTTGTCAGCTGTGCCCAGCCTCGCAATGACCTTTGGACCTGGACTGGGCGGTGGCTTGTCGAAATTTGGACTGGAAATTCCGGTGCTGGTGGATGGGCTCTTGTCTCTGCTGGCAGCAGGGCTCTGCTTTATCTACCTGCCAGAATCTCCTGTTTGGCTCCAGTCCAGAGGCCATCCGGCAGCCACAGCATCTGATCCCAAGGCACCTTCCAAGGTCGCAAGTATTCCAGCAGGTGTGAGGGTGCTGGCAATTTCAGGCTTCTTCAGTGGGATCAATTTCGGGGTTGTGGTCTCCATGACGGCCATCTTTCTGGATGCCAAGCTGCAGTTTGATTCGCTGCACGTGGGCTTCACCTTCGTGCTGAGCGCCCTAGCCACCTTGGCTACCAGCATTTGGATCACTGGCTTCGTCCAGAAATCTGTGGGTCTCAAGTGCTGCGCGGTGCTGGGCTCCCTTTTGAATGGACTCCTCAGCATCGCTATGGCGGTCATCCCTGGGGCCTGGCCCACCATCATCGTGATGTGCCTGGCGCGGGTGGGGATGACCCTACGGGCCGCGACGAATGGAACCATCTTGGCCAACTTCACCGATCCCTCCAACCGGGGCACTATCTTTGCGCAGCAACAGTTCGCCACCAACATGGGCCGCTTGGTGGGTCCGGTGGTGGCAGGGCACCTGGCTGTCAGGGATCCTGTGCTATTGCCCATCCTGTTTGGATCCAGCTGCGGCCTCATCTCTGGACTGATCCTGCTGGCAGTGCCCATGCCCGAAGGACCCAAAGAGGTCAAGCAAAAACGCCTGCACGGCTTCACAGATTTGGGGGGTGGGAGCCTCAAGGGAATGGAAGGTGGGATGAAGTATCGTTGATCCATTGAAACCCTCTGGGGCAACATTCCCAAATATTATACTTAGTCAACTTTTGATCATCTTGATCACAACAAACCCACGTTTTCGATAGTTTGTGACCACCAAAATGGTAAAACCCAACTTTTCTCAGGTTTTAAAGGTAGGTTCCTTGGATCATGAGGTGCTGAGTCAGTGCTGGAGCTGGAGTATGGCACAGCACAGGCGGGTTGCTGAACATCGACAATTTTTTGAACATGTTTTACATGGATTGTCGCTAGATTTTTGACTCTGTGGCGCTTTCAAATCGCGTTTGATGGATTTTTCCGAGGGACACCTTGGATTCCGAGACATTGAATTTTAAACGGAGGCTGAACGGATTTTCTAAGCACCACATGCCATTTATTGAAATTATGTATGAGGTGAGTGTCGCCTAGAAAATCACGGAAAATCTCGGATGATCTTTAGTGTCCTAAAATGGGGGGATCCCATGGCCATGTTTTTAGATGGGAAAGGCCATTGGGTCGTGGGGGTCCCCCAGGATTGCGAGGAGTTGGGTAAATTCATGGGCGATCTTCTCTCCCAGCGTCGCTATCGCTGGATCTCGCGCAAGAAGGCCATCTACTGCGGCTCGGAAGCAAAGCGGTGATGGGATTATTTTCAGGTCTATTGATATTTATTATTTTTTGTTTAGTTTCAGATTTGTTTTGTAACAATTTTGTGGGTCCAATTTCTTGTTCCAGATGTTTGGATGTTATCAACAAGTATCAAAATTGTTGATCGACATTTGCGACCTATTTCCAAGCAGTGCTAGGTATGTTGGACAAGCTGCTGCCCGAACTCTCAGCAGATGTTGGGGATCATCTTGAAGATCTCCAGCGCTTGATGAAGCATGTGGACGCTCGTGAAATTGGTGGAAGGTCCCAAGGTCCCAAGGTCCCACAACTTTTCATGTGGCATATGCGGCATAGCATGATTTTGTTGGGTCTGGTATTGCAATTTCCATGTGAATTATATACATTGGAATTACACTGGAAACCAAACAGAGATGGTTTGGAGACCAGGATAAGCTCTTCAGGCTTGTGCGAGCAGATTGATCCAGATTTTTGTGGGGGCTGAATGCATGAACTTTGGCTTTGCTGAGGAATTGATTCAGAAAGACTTCGAGGGTGTGCAGAATCGGGATGTTTGCTGAGACATTGTTTGATCGACCGTTCCAAAAACCGACCCGCTGTATGCATTTATTCGGTCATCGCAACAACTTACCAATTTTTGCGGTCATTTCTAGGAGAAAATCAAGGTGTTTTACCAGTTTTTCCATATTTTTCCTCTTGCAGCATGTTTGTGTTTGGTCTGAGGGGGGGGGGCAGGGCGGGCCATAAAATCATGGCAAGAGTTTGATGAGACAACTTTGGTTTGCTTGACATGCCACATTCTCCGTCCATTTTTGGCTCAAGGCTGGGGTGACAGTTTTGCCAAGCAAACCAGTCACCTGTCAGTCATCTTAATGATATGACAAGATGAAACCGGCCGGTAGTCGACCCGCCGGCAGACGGAACACCGTGCAATATCTTCAAACTGGAGGCGGCTGCAAGGTTGAAATGGAGGAACATCCGCAAGACAAGGGGAAAGGAGTCAAGGAAGTACATAGAAGTAGTAAAAATTAGTAAAAGAAACGTGGTGATCGACAGATTTTTTCTGATGTTCATGTGGCTCCAAATCCGTAGCCACATCTTGCGACGAAGACACATTGTCCCAATGTACTTCCAGTTGAAGGTATGACAAACGAATATGATGATTGGGAGCAGACGTGATTTTCAACCCCTGACGCTTCCCCATCTGCGTATGTTTTTCATGGATTTTCCCACGAAATCTGGGATTTCTTTCCCATTGCCGCTCCAGGTGTCACAGACCCGTCCGAACCTGTGGAGGATGAGAGAGATTTTGTCAGTCCACACATCGAACTGCTGCCCTTTGTCAGGTCGCGTGGGACTGAATGGGACCGCCTGGGATGTGAATCCAGCATCCGGAGTAAACCATTCCCAACAGGAACATCCTCCCTTAGGTAAACCATCCTCAACTTTTTGGTTTGTGAAAAATACCTATTTTTCCCATCCAATGAAATACTGGTTGATCAATAGGTACACCGGTATACCGTATACCTATTATTGGACCATAATACTCCCCAATAAAATCCAATAAATCAGGTTTTTTTTTCACCCCCTATACCAATCCATGGGGGTATTTGTAGTGGGGCCAGGTTGCATGCGTCTCATCCGGAGTCAGGGCCTCGGAGATTGAAGCCGTCAGCCAGTTGAAACCATAGAACAAAAACCATCCATTTTGGAGCTGAGTAAATATAACTTGACCTCAGAGTTGGATGGGTTTTCCTTTTTTTTTCCCCAACAGCAGAATGCTTTGGGGTCTCAGCCCACATAGCCTTCGGGGTGCTCCGGGGCACTGCTCGACCCTGCCGCCTCGTTTCGCCGGTTCCGGGAACCAGGGTTCCGAGAACCGGTTCCGGGAACCAGGGTTCGGGGCAAGGTTCCGGGAACCCAGGGTTCCGGGCAAGGTTCCAGGAACCCAAGGTTCCGCAAACCAGACTTTCAAGCAAGGTTCTGGGAACAATGGGTTCTGGCTACCTTTTGGGTTCCGGGACGTCAAGGTTCCGGGAAGGTTCCGGGCACACTTGGCTTTCGACAAGGTTCCGGGAACCTTACCATGGTTTCGAGCAGCCAGAGCCTGGATTGTGCCAAAGTTCTGGAATCACCGGAACACCAATTTTGAGACATCCTGCAAACCCAGAGTTTGGGGAACCAGGATTCTGGCAAGGTTCCAGCAACACTGGGTTCCGACAAGGTTCCGAGAACCACCACAGATGCGGACCCACAGTTTGGATATACTTCCTGGATTATGCCACAGGTTCCGGACAGGGACAAGGTCAGAGTTCTGGCAAGGTTCCGAGGTTCCGGAAACAACCCAGGGGTCGGATATACGCCGTGGGTTGTACCAAGGTTCATGCTACGGACAGGGTCCCAGAAAACCAATTTGCAAGGAAACCAAGGTTCCAGGACCAAAAGGGCCCGGTCAACGAGCAATCGCTGACAGGGGGGGGGACAGCGTGACAATAAATCAGCGCGTCTCGGTTCCGGAAACCCAGGGTTCCAATATACGCTGTGGGTTGCGCCAAGGTTCCGGAAACGAGGGTTCCAGGAAGACAAGGTTCCAGGGACACAAGGTTCCAGGAACACAAGGGATTCCGGAAATCCCCCAGCCAATCTTGGGTGCTTTGTGGCCCCTCACTGAATTCCGAATTCATGTTCGTTTGCTCAGTGGGCGCACAGCGTCGGTCGACTGACCTGTTCTGATGTTGCTGTAAAATCTTCTGTTTGAACTGTTCCGATGTCGCATCTACCAAAGCACATGCCACATCAAGCAATTAAGTTCGATGCCTTGGAACACCTAAATATTGGCAGCAAACCTGTGTGAGGCTTCTCGAAGCCAGGTAGATGATTTTTTGAAAGCTAAGTGACCAAACAGCAACACACAATGAAACTTCAGACACAGTTGTGACACAACAACCAAGTATTGACATGAAACTAATTCTGGAATCATGATGGACAATTTGGCCAAAACCAACTGTTTCACCAATCACTTGCGCAAACTGACCGATGTTGTCCAAGCACGACAAGATAATCCCAAACCAACACACACACACAATTTTGTAAACACTTAATGACACACCGTGGTCTGCAAATACTGCCATTCGTTTGTAACCAAATGTATGTAAATTCAACTATGCGCGCTTTCTTAAAGAACATGTCTCATCCTGCCTTTGGTCCAAAAGGGGAGGGGGCAAGGCGGGCAAAAAATCGCCGAAGAGACTTAGGCTATGGAATCCTGTTCCTGCCATCATTAATCCGTCTTGGGTTGCAAAGTTGGACCACTGTTTGAAACCAACCGCTGCCGGTTCCGGGAACCAGGGTTCCGGGCAAGGTTCCGGAACTCAGGGTTCCGGGAACCAGGGTTCGGGGCAAGGTTCCAGGTTCCGCAAACCAGACTTTCAAGCAAGGTTCTGGGAACAATGGGTTCTGGCTACCTTTTGGGTTCCGGGACGTCAAGGTTCCGGGATCCCCAGGTTCTCGGCGCCAGGAAGGTTCCGGGCACACTTGGCTTTCGACAAGGTTCCGGGAACCTTACCATGGTTTCGAGCGGTTCTGGAATCACCGGAACACCAATTTTGAAACATCCTGGAAACCCAGAGTTTGGGGAACGAGGGTTCCGGCAAGGTTCCAGCAACACTGGGTTCCGACAAGGTTCCGAGAACCACCGCGGATGCGGACCCACAGTTTGGATATACTTCCTGGATTATGCCACAGGTTCCGGACAGGGACAAGGTTGCGGAACAACAATTTTCAAGAAGCCCAGCCCAGGTTCCAGAGAACCAGGGTTCTGGCAAGGTTCCGAGGTTCCGGAAACAACCCAGGGGTCGGATATACGCCGTGGGTTGTACCAAGGTTCATGCTACGGACAGGGTCCCAGAAAACCAATTTTCAAGGAAACCAAGGTTCCAGGACCATATAGGCCCTGTCAACGAGCAATCGCTGACAGGGGGGGGCACAGCGTGACAATAAATCAGCGCGTCTCGGTTCCGCAAACCCAGGGTTCCAATATACGCTGTGGGTTGTGCCAAGGTTCCGGAAACGAGGGTTCCAGGAAGACAAGGTTCCAGGAACACAAGGGATTCCGGAAATCCCCCAGCCAATCTTGGGTGCTTTGTGGCGGGTTCCGCACATGCCGATTCATGTTCGTTTGCTCAGTGGGCGCACAGCGTCGGTCGACTGACCTGTTCTGATGTTGCTGTAAAATCTTCTGTTTGAACTGTTCCGATGTCGCATCTACCAAAGCACATGCCACATCAAGCAATTAAGTTCGATGCCTTGGAACACCTAAATATTGGCAGCAAACCTGTGTGAGGCTTCTCGAAGCCAGGTAGATGATTTTTTTAAAGCTAAGTGACCAAACAGCAACACACAATGAAACTTCAGACACAGTTGTGACACAACAACCAAGTATTGACATGAAACTAATTCTGGAATCATGATGGACAATTTGGCCAAAACCAACTGTTTCACCAATCACTTGCGCAAACTGACCGACGTTGTCCAAGCACGACAAGATAATCCCAAACCAACACACACACACAATTTTGTAAACACTTAATGACACACCGTGGTCTGCAAATACTGCCATTCGTTTGTAACCAAATGTATGTAAATTCAATTATGCGCGCTTTCTTAAAGAACATGTCTCATCTTGCCTTTGGTCCAAAAGGGGACGGGGCAGGGCGGGCAAAAAATCGCCGAAGAGACTTAGGCTATGGAATCCTGTTCCTGCCATCATTAATCCGTCTTGGGTTGCAAAGTTGGACCACTGTTTGAAACCAACCGCTGTTGGGGATCTACGTCGGCTTATTTTTTTTCATTTTTTTCACTTTTTGATACGTGAAGACGATTCCCGGATTCCGAGGTCGAAAGGTACTCCCGGAGCCTTAGTCGAAGCTCAGATGCTGGAAATCATGGAGCTTAGTGGGCGACCCGAGAGCAATAAGAAGGTGGGGATGAAAACTGGGGGATAAAACTCTGATAGAAAACTTTCCCATCAAAAATTGGGTGGGAAAATGGGGTTTGTATACCCAACTTATGGCAATTTTAGAGGGGAAAATGATGATTCACCCGTGGATTTCGGCTATTTTCAGACAGGCTGACAGGCTTTCCTGAAAGAGGGGGATGGCATGTAGCCAAAACTGATCAAAAAGTTGGGTAAGGGTCAAGTCATTCCTTCATGATAGGAGGGTGCAGCCACAATGGCAGGGAAAGGTTGGTCGAAGTGGGGACTGGGTTCACATGGTTCAATGGGCCACAAACTAAGCTTGTTTGGGGGGATTACAACCGTCTAAGAAGTGATTTGACAGCCTTGTTGGGCTGCCTTCCTTTTGAAGTCGAGTAACGCCACCTCAGTCACAAGAAGCTGTAGTCAGCTTGAGCTTTTATGGCAATTGACTATACAGCACCAGTCTAGAGTTAGAACTTATGGATGGATGAAAACACCATAAAACACTGCATGATGTCAGAATCACACTGCCTTTTTTGCCTCTCCCGTTGTTCTTAAATGGATTGGACGACTACCAATCCATCTAAGAGTCACTCTTCATTAGAACAAAAATGCATTTTTTTCCTTGTTTCTCCCCATTTTCACCATGTTTTTACCCTATTTTTTCCATCTTTTCGTTCCCCGCAACGTGGGCCAGTTCCGCCTGGCCGTGCGGGGCCACAGCCTGCTGGTCTTGGACGACTCGGGCAGCCGCATCGCGCTGACGGAAGCGGAGCTGCTGGGTCTGGAAATCATCGCCAAAGCGGGGAGCGAGGGGATCCCACCCATGATTGGCTTAAAGGTGGTACAGCCACAGGACAGGGATGGGATGGGATGGGATGGGATGGATGTTTGGTGAGTTTGGTGGTGATCTGGGACTGGTGGTGATGATGGCGATGGGACTTCAGGGTTGGTTTGTTTTTCCTTTCTTCGAACGGAAGTGGAACTACGAAAGTGCTTCTGATGCGCTTGCCAAATGTTGGTGAAACGCTGTGATTTGCATTGCTGCTTCCAGTTGGCATCTCAAATGGGGGCATAAAGCACCATGGGGATATCACATCCTTCTACGTACAACTTGCAATTAGCAACTGTGGGCGTAAGCATCCAGAAACAGCAAATGGGATATTAAGCGATAGAACCAACAGAATCACATCATTGCATCATCCAGAATCTATTTTTTTGTGATATGAAGTGATAGAAACGACAAAATCACGTTTTCATCGTTATCAACACTTGCTTTTGGCAACAACTGGAAAAACACCTCGAAAGGACCCTCCGGCGGTGAAACCTCCCGAAAAAGCTCCGCCTGCGAGCTCTCCGGTGGGCGGACGGCGGGTGTGGTTTTTTTTCAGGGAAGATTCGGAAGATCTGTAGGATTTTCGTTCTTTTTGTTCTGATGTACCCTCTGGTAATTTAACATAGCTATTGAAATGGCCCATTTATAGATGGTTTACCTATTAAAAATGGTGATTTTCCATGGCTATGTTAAATAGCCAGATGGTATTCCATTTAGTTTCTATGAAATCTGAGAAATCTGGGGAGTTTCAGCTATTTCACGTCGCTTTTTAGATGGAACGATGAGCCCGAAAAAGACCTGAACGAAACTCCACCTGGAACCCTTACTGCGCTGCAATGCTAACCATATGTCCATGTTGAAGGATGAAATCCTGGTGTTCATTCGTGAAGTCCGTCACTTGGTTGTCATAGAATCATTGTTCTTTACTCCAGTTTTCGGTGGCAAAACAACTTCTGGTTGGTCGAAAAATGGCATGTTGGGTCTTGGTTGGTTGAAAACCACCAAATTTCGTTGGATCTCCCTAAAATTCGGTAGAATCCCGACTTTCGCTGGTTGGCTTTGTCTCCGAATCGTAATCCAGGATCATCCGCCATGGCCATAACATCCATAACTGGCAGGTTCTATCAGCTATATCACAGCTATATCATGTTATATTCCATCATTGATATCCCATCATTAGGTGCTATATATATAATATACATGTATATACTATATATATATAAGAGTCCGGACTCCGGATCCCTGGCCCCCCCCACCCCAATGGCATGGTCCCCCAAGCTCACGCTCTCGGGAACACGGGACACGGGACCATACATACATACATGCATACATACATGCATGCATGCATGCATGCATCCATCCATCCATCCATCCGGATGCATCCATCCACCCATCCATCCATCCATCCATCCATCCATCCTGTTAAGAATACAATAGTTTTGATATCAACAATATCCATAGTGTACATGGCAACAATGCACAGCACAATCTGTGCTCTGGATCAAGGCCTTGAGCCTAAGACAATTGCCAGAGGAAAACAATACAGCTGATCGTGCACAAGACAAGGACAATTGGACAAGAGGACAAACGTGAGACAACGTGGACACAACCCATCACAATCAGAGTGCCGGTGAAATCTTACATAGTAGTGGAGCGAGGATCCTGGTAACAATCCAGGTGAGCTCCAATACCAACACACAACAACAACCAGCAACAAAGACAGCAACAAGAAGGAGACAAGCCTTGACCCCACAAGTGGTAGCTTGAACAAACAGCCACAATGGCAGAAAACCCAGCAGCACCGGCAGGAGGCGGACAATTGCCTCCAATACCAGAAGACAACTTAGCTCACATGAACAGATACAAACTCAAACCCCCCTTCTACAATGGAGACTACAGCACGTTTGAAGAATGGAAGTACAAGTTCACAGCATAGACTACCCAGCACTACTACAAGCATCAGAGAACGCCAATGCAGAGCTGACAGAAGCACAACTACGAGGAGCAGCAACAACAATTGAGGATGGTGAACGACATGTTCGCCTCAGCACGGACTTGAGGTACATCCTCATCAATACAACAGCTGGGGCAGCGGCAACAGTCTGCCGACAACATCAGCACACAATTGGCTTCCAAATGTACAGACAACTTTGCATACGATTCTCAATACCACTTGGCACAAGATCAATTGGACACCTTACACGACTACTCAAGCCCAAATCCGACAACAACAATTTCGAGGAGTCATTCTCAACATGGGAATTTGAACTCCAACGCTTTGAGCGTGACAATGGACAACAATTGCCAAATGCAGTGAAGATAGCAGTCCTACTCAATGAAACAACTGGACCACTACAGCAACACTTACAACTGCTTTCAGGACAAAAACCAAACTACGCCAGAGTCAAAGCAACAATCATTGAATACTACAGATCGACAACGGCATTCAGTAAGCTACAACAACTCGCCACACAATCATCCAGCGTATCAACCAACTACGCTGGAGGACAAGCACCCATGGACATCGATGCAGTGCACAAAGGGAAAGGAAAACACAAAGGAAAAGGTAAAGGCAAAGGAAACATAAAGGCAAAGGCTACGGTGGATACAACGGCTACGACTACAACAATTACAACAAAGGAAAAGGAAAGTATGGAGGGAAAGGATACAACTCCCACAACAATCAAATTGGATACGGCAATCCTTTTGGAGGAAAAGGCAACAAAGGATACAAAGGATACAACAAAGGAAAAGGAAAAGGAAAGAACAAAGGAAAGCAAGTGACAGACACATGCTACAGATGTGGAAGAACACGTCACTACGCCAAAGACTGCAGAGTAGCAATCCACAACATTGGACAAACAGAGCCACAAGACAACGACGACACAACAGCACAATGGTACACCGACTACTACGACAATGGATGGCACTATCACGACTACACGACACACCACCAGCCACAACAATTGGCATTACCACCAATACCAGCAACAAGCAGTCGGAGCAACAACGCCACACCAATACATGTGATTGCCATGATTGGCAATGGCCATCATCAACAACCAACAACTACGACGACAACAGACAATACCCACATTATGATCGACAGTGGTGCAGCCACACATGTCTGCCCACTGTGGTTTGCAGACAACTACCCAGTGCACAGGATCGACGAAGCACAACTACCAAACCTTAGAACAGTGACCAACAAGACCATGCAATGTTATGGTGTAAGATGGGTCTACATGAAGTCACGAGGACAACCAATTGTCATACCATTTATGTGTGTGACATACACGACCCAATTCTGTCAGTGACAAGACTGACAGAACAAGGTTTTGACATCAGGTTCAACGACGCACCCACAATGAGCCACAACAAGGGATTCGATGTCTCCTTGGTCCAACAACACAACCTGTACTACCTACCAGCAACAATCGTGAACTTGGAACAACACCAGCAACTACAACTTCGACAGACACCAGAGGGCGTGATAGCAATGATTGCCCCAACCACGCTGACACAAGCAGGACCACAACAAGTCCTTGGAGGAAACAACGACTACTGGAACTACAACAGTGAAGGATACCTGGTGAGGTACCACAGGAACAAAAGGAAGGCACTATTCGTTCCTGGCAACAATTGTCCAGTATCTCTTGAAAGATTGAGCAACTATCGAAGGACAATTGTCAGACGGCCAAATGGGCACAATGAGGATTTCGTGGAACAGTACAACGACTTGGGTAAGAATGCACAAAAGCGAATCCTACAAGGTGATGCCTGGACAGGAGAAACTTGGTTCAAAGTGACTGGACAACCAGCAGCCACGCAACCATCTGCAGCACAACCGAGGACACCTGTGCCTCAACCACAGCCACAGCAGACAACACAAACAGAGCACCAGCCACCGGTGCCACAACTGCCAGCACAAGCAGAAACACGCCAGCAGACAATCAACCGAGAACAACTCTTTCGACATACAACCAAAAAGTCACCACTAACAACGACGGCAATACCAGGACCACAAACACTGACACCAAACTCTGATTACTGGATCAGAGAAGGACACTTGTGGAAGCGTGTCCACGTACAACCACGTACAACACTTCACGTACCAGAACAATCAGATGATGGGCCGAACATTGAACGATTGACTTCAGAAAGAACAACATTGGTGTCACCAACAGAGCAAGCAAGAGGATGGAGGATTGACGACAATTGGAAGGAATCAGGAGCAAGACCACTTGACAGACAATGAGCAGGATCAACAAACTATGAGGAAGATGTCGAGCACAAGTATGAGTATGACACAGACAATGAGGAAGAAACACAACAAGCACAAAGACCACGAGGAATGAAGGCCCCACAACAACCAACAAGGCAAGAAAGATTTGAGCACGAACTGACACACCTGCCATACAGATCTTGGTGCCCAATCTGCGTGAAGAGCAAAGGCAGAACAGATAATCACCCAAAACAGACAAGCAGACAACCGGTGATACAAGTGGACTTCACATACATGAAAGCCTTTGGAGACAAACAAGTACTACCAGTACGAACAGCAATAGATGTCGAATCAGGTATGGCAATGGCAGTCCTTGTCAAGGACAAGAACCAACAACAACAATACCTGGTACGATGTCTACAAACATTCATGTTTGAATGTGGACGAGCACAAGCAACACTCTCACCAACAACACTACAAACAGACCAAGAGGATTTCATACTGAACCTCTTGAAGACAGTTGCGCAAAACCTTGGAGCAAACATCAAGGTACGACAATCACCAGCCTACTCGTCACAATCACAAGGCAGCATCGAACGATACCATCGTACACTCATGGGACAAGTGAGAACACTACAAGTCACAACAAAATACAACCTCACACTCAGTGTACAACATCCAATCCTACCATGGATTGTGAGACACGCAGCATGGCTACTCAACCGGTATGCCATTCACAATGATGGGCAGACAAGCTACCAAAGAAGATGGCAAAAGGATCACAAAGCACCACTATGCGAAATGGCCGAAACAATACAATACATGATTCCCACAACAAGGACACAACCAAGATTCTTCAAAGGAATCTGGCTTGGAAGAGACGCAATGACAGGAGAATCAATAATAGGAATTCCAGGCAAAATCATCAGGGTGAGAACCATTCGAAGACAAATTGAACGAGACAAATACGACAGGCAACTCCTGGATACAATCAATGTGTATCCATGGAACTCACCAACACCGCCAACGGCAATATCACCACAACTACTTTTACCAGCCAACCCACAAGCAAGCAGCTACGCCATTGGAACACAAACTGGCATCCCAATGACTGAGACAAGCACACAAACACAACAAGCAGGAACACCATTAGCACTACCAACATCAGCACAACAACTACCAACAGACTCCACAATGGCAACAGCACCGTTGGCAACTTCACCAACGAACATCACAAGACCAGCATTGCCTTTACCACAAGGCAAAAGACCGCACGAAGAGCCAACAGGTCAAGCTGAGCCAAAACAATCGAGAAAAGCACAATCCTCAGCAGCAGTTAGCCGAGGGCAACACGATGAACAGCCACACTCCAAAATGAGGATACAAGCAGTGACAATCACCACAAAGAAAGGAGACACAATCACGACAGCATCGTGTGAAGACGAACAAGAAGCAGAAGTGGAACGAATGCTACAAGAACCCTTCGTCTACGACAACGAAGGACTGGACCCCAAGAAAGTCCAACAAGGAATGAAGAAAGAAGCACAATCAATGAAGGGACAAGGAGTGTTCACAGAAATCAACTACAATGATGTCCCTGACGAATACAAAGCAAAGATTATAGAATCCAGATGGGTCAACAAGCCGAAACAAGACGAAGTGAGATGCAGAATCGTCGCGAAAGGTTTTCTGGAAACAATCCAGGACCTCGACAACATCTACGCCAGCACACCCATCTTCGGGATTCTGCGAATCCTGTTGACAATGGCACTACACAAGCAATGGACAATACAAGCAGGCGATGTGTCAACAGCCTTTCTACAAGCACCAGCAGCAACCGACAATTTGTACATGTGGCCACCACCTGAACTCTATCCAAGCGGCCGCAATAGCACAACAGTATGGAAGCTCAACAAGGCAATCTACCGATTGAGATCTAGCCCAAAATCTTGGCAAGACCACTTCGCACAAGTCCTACAACAACTTGGACTCACACGACTCACAAGTGAGCCCAATGTATACAGAAACAAGGAACAGACAATGTTCGTGATGGTCTACGTAGAGGACCTACTATTCCTGGGACAACACCAAGAGGTCAACAAAACCTTCCAGGAAATACAATTGCACGTACTCCTACGACCAACAGGCACACTCGGAGTCGAACAAACAATCCAATTCCTTGGAAGAGACATCTACAACGGCGGAGACCACTTTGAACTCAGCCTCAAACCTGAGTACATCACAACACTTCTGAAAGAAACGAAAATGGAAACAAGCAATCCAGCATCAGCCCCAGGGACGGCAACCCTGAAACAATCCACAAACGACGAAGCACCCTTAGACAAACAAGAGCATGCAGACTACCGACGAGCAGTAGGAAAATTACAATGGCTCACCTGCACACGACCTGACATCAGCTTCGCAACAAAGGAACTAGCGAGAGATTTACAACAACCAACACAACACAGCCTCCGCAAGTTGAAACATCTCTTGCGGTATCTACGCGGAACACAACAATACAAGATGATCATTCGACCGACACACACACACACCACAAACAACAGAACCTATCGATGTGAACATCTATGTCGATGCGGACTGGGCAGGTTGCCCGAACACAAGGAAATCGACAAGCGGATTCATCATCACAATGATGGGATCCGTTGTACAATTCGGCAGCAGGACACAAGCAGTGGTAGCACTATCATCGGCAGAATCAGAACTATACGCAATCGGCACAGGGGCACAAGAAGGCCTACACATAGCCAACTTCATAAAGGAAGCAACAACAAAAGTGAACATCCGCATACACACCGACAGCACAAGCGGAAAGAGCATCGCAACAAGAATCGGGTCATCCAAGAAGGCAAAACACATTGACCTGAAACACTTGTTCATACAGCAACTGGTACAAAAAGGGATCCTATCAATCCACAAAATCAGCACACACGACAACCCAGCGGACATACTCACAAAGTATGTTCCGGCAGAGGTGCTTAACAAACACCTCTACATGGCGGGCATCCACAGCCCACAACATCGCAACTGACCGCCGGCATAACACTGTTTCACAACATCAGAGCATCCCCTGCGTGTACAATACACACACGGTTGCTCGAGCCATGGTACACTATTTTCTTAAAGAATATGGATACCATCGACTATATGTATCACTATATCACCTACAAGATCTTCGTTTCACTATGATATATACTATGTCATCTACAATTCATCATTGACGTCATCTTTTGCTGCATGTGAGTGCGACTGGACAATGTCGAGTTGGAACAATCCTGAGACAATCGTGTTTGAATCGTTTTACTTTTGAATTGACAATGCATGAGCAATGTCGATGAAACACTAGTTCACCGCAGCCGCGTCTGCTCACAAGCGACCCGACAATACGGTGAACAAGATCATCTACAAGAACGCCAGGTGAAACAATGATGGCACCCAAGGTGGACGTGCCAAACTACAATGAGTTCAGATCGACTACAAGAGCCTGGTACTTCTGGGCCAGAAGTCAACGGCCACAACCTATGTGGACCGTGCTGCACTGGCCAATGAAGAAGAGGCCACAATTCGCATCCTGAAGCCTGAGGAGACAGACAAGACAGCAAGACAATTGCTGTTGGGCTTGGACGGCAAAACAACGACCGTCTTCAGCTTCACAATGGAGGAATATGTGGCCATGATCGCAGAGCAAGAAGGAACATTGACCTACATCCCCGGTGATGTCCGAGCTGGCAAACGGTGGCTCCAGACAATCGGGGTCCCCACAATCCAGGACGCAGCAAATCAGCTGTGTTGGCACGTGTCGAAAGGACACACAACGCCATCGTCAAGCACAGTGATGGTGGCAATTCAGTTGGACCTCAACAATTGGTGCTCCCATCACACAATGAAGCACGTCAATTCATTCCAGCGTGGATATAGCCTACAGATGAGGCAAGTGCTGGAAGGATTCCAATACAATCTCACCGCCGAAGAGTTGTCGACAATGGTCGTTGTCAACTATGACAACTACAATGTGCTTCAACTGGCCTCACGCTTTGTGTGGTCAAGTGGATATGTGTGGGCATCAGCAATGCCAGTAAATGTGCTCACAGCCCTGGAGGTCAAGGATGATGAGAACAATTCTCACATCATGACTGCTCTCATCCAAGGCCTATACAATGGAGGCACAACTTGCCTCAAAATCATGCCAAAGCACATCCGAGACAAGGCATTGGAATTCCTGTTGGATCGCAATCTGGCAACAACCCCAGCCAACATGATCCCTATGCACAGCATGGTCATCCTGACCATGCAGCCTGCGTCATGACCAGGTCTGACAATGAGATCCAGCAAGTTGGGAATAAGGAGAGCAGGAAACGCCGTGCTGACGACATGGAAGTCGAACAGAAGGACGGCTAGAAGATGATCTACAAGATCCAAGAAGATTGACTATGATGACACCACATCTTTGCCGACAACGAGACAATCAAAAGACGCACAACGAGTCGACAATGAGGCAAAGAAGTGTACAGATCATCAACAATCCACTGTACAGACTTGAACAATTTTTTGCACTGAACAATGAGAGAAAAATAATGCTGATTTCAGTTCCCAATGATGCCAATGGACAATGTGAATGGACAATCCTAAACGAAGTGGCGTGCACAATGCCGCCAATTCGAGGGACGGTGTTAAGAATACAATAGTTTTGATATCAACAATATCCATAGTGTACATGGCAACAATGCACAGCACAATCTGTGCTCTGGATCAAGGCCTTGAGCCTAAGACAATTGCCACAGGAAAACAATACAGCTGATCGTGCACAAGACAAGGACAATTGGACAGGAGGACAAACGTGAGACAACGTGGACACAATCCATCACAATCAGAGTGCCGGTGAAATCTTACACATCCATACATACACACACACACAGACATACATACCTATCTACCTACCTACCTACCTACCTACATACCTACCTACCTACGTACCTACGTACCTACGTACCTACGTACACACGTACATACATACATACCTACAATACCTACATACATACCTACATACATACATACATACCTACATACATACATACCAACATACCAACATACCAACATACCAACATACCACCACCACAGGCCACAGGGGGGGGGACCAGAAGAACCATACCACCACCACAGGCCACAGGAGGGCGGGACCAGAAGGACCATACCACCATCCATCCATCCATCCATCCATCCATCCATCCATCCATCCATCCATCCATCCATCCATCCATCCATCCATCCATACATACATACATACATACATATGCACACACACACAGACATGCATACCTACCTACCTACCTACCTACATACCTACATAGCTACATACCTACGTACCTACGTACACACGTACACACGTACATACATATACACACACAGACACACATATCTACCTACCTACCTACCTACGTACCTACGTACCTACGTACCTACGTACCTACGTACCTACGTACCTACGTACCTACGTACCTACGTACCTACGTACACACGTACACACGTACACACGTACACACGTACATACATATACACACACACAGTACCTACGTACCTACGTACCTACGTACCTACGTACCTACGTACCTACGTACCTACGTACCTACGTACCCTACCTACGTACCTACGTACCTACACACGTACCTACGTACTACGTACCTACGTACTACGTACCTACGTACACACGTACATACATATACACACACACACAGACATACATACCTATCTACCTACCTACCTACCTACGTACCTACGTACCTACGTACCTACGTACCTACGTACCTACGTACGTACACACGTACATACATATACACACACACAGACATACATACCTATACCTACCTACCTACCTACCTACGTACCTACGTACCTACGTACCTACGTACCTACGTACATACATATACACACGTACCTACGTACCTACGTACCTACGTACCTACGTACCTACGTACACACGTACACACGTACACACGTACACACGTACATACATATACACACACACAGACATACATACCTATCTACCTACCTACTACCTACTACCTACGTACCTACGTACCTACGTACCTACGTACCTACGTACCTACGTACACACGTACATACATATACACACACACAGACATACATACCTATCTACCTACCTACCTACCTACCTACCTACGTACCTACGTACCTACGTACCTACGTACCTACGTACCTACGTACCTACGTACACACGTACATACATATACACACACACACAGACATACATACCTACGTACCTACGTACCTACGTACCTACGTACCTACGTACCTACGTACACACGTACACACGTACACACGTACACACGTACACACGTACATACATATACACACACAGACATACATACCTATCTACCTACCTACCTACCTACCTACCTACCTACGTACCTACGTACCTACGTACCTACGTACCTACGTACCTACGTACCTACGTACATACGTACCTACGTACCTACGTACCTACGTACCTACGTACACACGTACACACGTACATACATATACACACACACAGACATACATACCTATCTACCTACCTACGTACCTACGTACCTACGTACCTACGTACCTACGTACCTACGTACCTACGTACCTACGTACACACGTACACACGTACATACATATACACACACACAGACATACATACCTACCTACCTACCTACCTACCTACCTACGTACCTACGTACCTACGTACCTACGTACCTACGTACCTACGTACCTACGTACCTACGTACCTACGTACCTACGTACCTACGTACCTTACGTAAACACGTAACATAGTACCTACGTTACCTACGTACCTACGTACATACGTACCTACGTACCTACGTACCTACGTACCTACGTACCCACGTACACAAGTATAAACATATAACACACACAGACATACATACCTATCTACCTACCTACCTACCTACCTACGTACCTACGTACCTACGTACCTACGTACCTACGTACCTACGTACCTACGTACCTACGTACCTACGTACCTACGTACCTACGTACCTACGTACACACGTACATACATACATACGTACCTACGTACCTACGTACATACGTACCTACGTACCTACGTACCTACGTACCTACGTACACACGTACGCACGTACATACATATACACACACACAGACATACATACCTATCTACCTACCTACCTATCTACCTACCTACCTACCTACCTACCTACGTACCTACGTACCTACGTACCTACGTACCTACGTACCTACGTACCTACGTACACACGTACCTACGTACCTACGTACCTACGTACCTACGTACCTACGTACCTACGTACCTACGTACCTACGTACACACGTACCTACGTACCTACGTACCTACGTACACACGTACATACGTACCTACGTACCTACGTACCTACGTGCCTACGTACCTACGTACCTACGTACCTACGTACACACGTACCTACGTACCTACGTACCGTACCTACGTACACACGTACCTACGTACCTACGTACCTACGTACCTACGTACCTACGTACCTACGTACCTACGTACCTACGTACACACGTACCTACGTACCTACGTACCTACGTACACACGTACATACGTACCTACGTACCTACGTACCTACGTACCTACGTACCTACGTACCTACGTACCTACGTACCTACGTACCTACGTACCTACGTACCTACGTACCTACGTACACACGTACATACGTACCTACGTACCTACGTACCTACGTACCTACGTACCTACGTACCTACGTACCTACGTACCTACGTACCTACGTACCCACGTACCTACGTACCTACGTACCTACGTACCTACGTACCTACGTACCTACGTACCTACGTACCTACGTACCTACGTACCTACGTACCTACGTACCTACGTACACACGTACATACGTACCTACGTACCTACGTACCTACGTACCTACGTACCTACGTACCTACGTACCTACGTACCTACGTACCTACGTACCTACGTACCTACGTACCTACGTACCTACGTACCTACGTACCTACGTACCTACGTACCTACGTACCTACGTACCTATGTACCTACGTACCTACGTACCTACGTACCTACGTACCTACGTACCTACGTACCTACATACGTACCTACGTACCTACGTACCTACGTACCTACGTACACACGTACCTACGTACCTACGTACCTACGTACACACGTACCTACGTACCTACGTACCTACGTACCTACGTACCTACGTACCTACGTACCTACGTACACACGTACGTACCACGTACCTACGTACCTACGTACCTACGTACCTACGTACCTACGTACCTACGTACACACGTACCTACGTACCTACGTACCTACGTACCTACGTACACACGTACCTACGTACCTACGTACCTACGTACACACGTACATACGTACCTACGTACCTACGTACCTACGTACCTACGTACACACGTACATACATACATACGTACCTACGTACACACGTACACCTACGTACCTACGTACCTACGTACACACGTACACACGTACCTACGTACCTACGTACCTACGTACCTACGTACACACGTACCTACGTACCTACGTACACACGTACATACATACATACATACAGGCCACAGGGGGGGGGGACCAGAAGAACCATACCCCATCAGGGGGGGGGGGACCATGGTGGGGGAGGGGGGGGGCTTGGGAGTCCTGGGTCATATATATCTGTATCCCCATGAACTCCCAAGTGTGGCCAGGCCTCTGAACTCCACAAGGCTCGGAAGGTGGTGCCGCCTCCGGACATGGCCTGGCTCATGGTGGCGGAAGGTGGCGAGGCGGGACATTTTTTTTTGGGTCCAATGGCCATGGAGATGGTTATTTTCCAATGGAAATGGTGGTTGAATGCTGGGAGATGGGGGAGATTTCACCATTCGGAATGGTGATTTTCCAATATTTCCCATGGTTAAATGGTTGAGGACATGGGCTGATGATCGTCGGAAAGGGGAATTTTTCACTATGGGGATATAATTCTGTGGATTATGATTATGAAGTGATAAATGATGGTTGATTAATGATTTGTTTGGGGATTGCACCAACCAATATATTTGGGGATTGTCATCATCCATATTAACCAACCAGCATCATGGAATGACAGAGGAATTTGAACACTGCTCACCTGATTTCAACCAAGTTTTTTCTGAATTAACCACCAGACACCAGAATGGAGACCCTTCCCCCGATTCGAAAGAAAAACTGACAGGAGTGTCTTCATCGAGCAGCTTTGACCCTGGCGGGTGCCGGAGCATTGTCACTCCGGCGCTGCAATTGATGCTTTGAAGGGAGCACAAATGATGTGGTAAACCCAACAACAAACCTACCATGTGGGGATGTCTTATACGATCAATTTCAGGCGAAATTCGGGATGGTTTCTTCTCGGCTACACCGTTATACCAAAACTACGAATATCTCTTTGGATGTGCATCCGAGCTTGTCCAGTGTATATCTGGGGTTGGTCCCCTTGATAGCTGATAGCTGTGGTTCTCCAGCACATCCCACCGAGCAAAACCCGAAGCCTAGCCAGGCGAAGCGATTTTGAAGCTGCCTACCACATGGAGGATGGTGTGGTAGGCTGGGAAGATCTTTTGGAAGGGATTGGTGGCTTGCACCAGACTGGTGGTTGTGTTTTCCCGACAAAAAATGAGATCCGCAGAACTGTTTATCAGGGGGGTTTGAAGTTTCACCAGAAGGTTTGCCCTTGAGGTGCTGGCGCTTTTGGCAGTGTCCATCGGGCAAGAGCCGGGCCCTGAAAACAACTCAGTTCTGGGCCGGGATACAAATCGTCCCACCTGGATAGGTCACACTTCCCCCTTTTGAGGTGACCGTTTTGATTCGCGTTTTGATTCGGATCTTTGGTTTGACCGTTTGACCCACATCCGCTGGATTCCATAGGATTCCCTGCCTGCTCTTTCCAGGCCAAAAATTCCAAGGGTGAGAAGGAGTGGCTGCCAGGGACACCTTGAAGATTTGGGTGACCCATGGTGACCCAAATTCCTTTACACAAGCTGTATGTTTGGATGTGGCAATTCCATTGACCCGGGCATAACATGGTATCACCCAAAGCCTACATAGGATTGACCCAATGTGAGCAGTTACTCAGAATTTTCGGAGAGACTTCGAATGAAACTTGGCAAAGGAGAGAAGTGGAGAGCCATTGGTGGTGAAGTGCTCTGATCTCAGGATATGGATCTGGATCCACTGCATAACTTGGTGTCATGAAACATGGCTGGCTGGACAATTCCCCAGGTCGTTTCACGATTTTCCCATCAAAAACAATTGTTTTTTGCGGGGATTTCCCAGCTAGCCCCTTTGAAGACACCGGGATTTCCTGGTTCTTTCGGATCAAGATTCGGCGGCCAAGTCTAATTGCTTCAGTGCTTGGTGTTTTCTACTGAGCAGTTGGGCAGCCACATTTCTGAAAGAAATGTTGGGTTCTTTGGGGAGCGAAGGTAACACATGATATTCCCATTGACGTGGTGCCTTTCCATAGCATGATGCTGGTGGGTTGCGCACTTCACCGTTGTTCAACTCAGGCGTCGATCCAGAAGGTTTCCACGACCCTTCCAAGGGCCCTGTGAGAGAAGCGATTCCAAAGCTTTTGTCTGGAGCTCAGAAGCAGATCCTGCAGAGATATATAGGGCTTTATGGGGGATCCCCAAGTCACCATGGGTTTCTGGGTGGTGGTTTGGAACATGAATTTTATGACTTTCCATATATTGGGAATGTCATCATCCCAACTGACGAACTCCATCATTTTTCAGAGGGGTACGTCAACCAGGTTTCAATACTAAGTCTTTGTATGTCTTTGTCAATACTAAGCCTTTGTCTGAAATTGGTATAGCCCCTGCTATGGCCAAATTTTTGGTGCACATTTGGAGGTTTTTTTTTATTCTATTTTCAGACAAACCTCCGGCGTTCAGGCGATCGGAGATGGCCTTCATGCTGACAGCCAAAGGGTGCCGTCATCGATGTTCTGTTTGGGAAAACTGAGATGATGGATGTTATTGGTGTCCAAAAACAAACACAAAAACGATTTGTATATCCAATAAAAATATATAAAAATCACTTGATGTACATCCATGAATGGATGGGACAAATAAAAATAAAATGGATGAACCAACGGACCGATTTTTCGCACTGTGCTCTTTCAAGGCATCCTCACATTTTGGCGCTGCACGCAGTTTTCCGTCTGCCAACACATCAGTGGGTCCTAGTGATGGATTGCCGGAACCTCATCGGAGGCAGTGTCATTGCTTTTTGGGTCACTCTTTTGGTTCAGTGTGAATTGGTTTGAGGGAAAATTTCACCGGAAACCTCTGATATTTGGCGAATAAATTTAATTTTTCCATCTTTTTTTTCTGTGTTAGATCTTCCCTAGAAAACCTCCACCTTGTTTTGAACCTGCGGATCTGTCGTCCGCCGAGTTTGTGCCGGTGGTGATGCCTTTGCTCACATTGCGAAGACTGGAGTGCAGACAGAGGCCGAGTCAATGTGATGGTCCAACTTTGGTTCTCCCAAAAATTGTGCATTGAAAAAGAAACATGGTGATTCTTTCCAAGATCAATCATGAATATATTCTGAATATAGAGTCTATGAAATTATAGAGTTGCGGGGTCGGAGACTTCTGAATGAACTGAATGACCTCTTGCGATCCTACAGAAGATCCCTTGCGCTGCAGATTCTTTAGCAGCAAATGAGTGTTTGACCATACCCTCTGGTAATTTGTTACATAGCTATTGAAAATGGCAATTTATAGTGGATTTACCCATGGAAAATGGTGGATCTTTCCATAGTTATGTAACAGTTTACCAGGCCGGGTAGTTGTTTGATCACAAGAAGTATGTGTTGCAAGTGAGCTGCTTCACCTCCCTGGAGGCCCATACCCAGAAGTTCAACCCCCCTGGAAAATCCTGGCTTAGTAGTAATCCCTTCCCCCTATTACTAACCGCCCCAAATAATAAAAAAACTAGGGTCCGTCTCCAATTTTGGAATTTGAGGTTGGCCAATTTGATTTTTAATTGATCCCCTTTAGAAAACGGTTTAAACATGAAGCTACCATTTCAGGGTTTCACCCCTTAATAAAAACTAGTCAACCCCGGGGTGTTTTTTATTAGGGTCTGTCCTGTCTTTTAAGGTCGAAAAAAAAGTATTTTATATTGAGGTTTTTAATCTACTATTAGGGGGAAGCTTCGAAATCCAGTTTTTGGCAATATTTTGATTAGATTTTAAAAGGAAATCTAATCGATTTTGAATTAGAACAAAAAATATATATATATATTTTAAAATAGGGTTTTAAATTTACTATTAGGGGGAACCCTAATAATAAATACCTCCTAATAATAGAAACTTCCTGAGGTGTTTATTATTTGGGGGTGTTAGTATTAGGGGGAAGGGATTATTGGACATATTGGCTATCACATCCGCATTTTCAGGATGGTTAAGGCATGTTTTGCCATGTTTGATGCTTCATTTTTAACCAATCAGCATTTTTTGTAACCAAGGGTGAAATCTCAATTTCAGTGGATTCAATGCCTGATTTTTGGTTGAACATGGCCCCCATGGTTGAACCCCTCCCTTCATCACTTTCCAGGCCAGCTGTAAAATCCTGATCGATGGCTTGCTCAGTGCCTTGAGTCATTTGGCGGGCTTGCGAATCCTGCACCGCGACGTGAAACCCGAGAACCTGCTGCTGCAAACAGGTGCGGGCCAGAAGATGCGGGATTTGGGAAATAGGGGGGGTTTACCGAGTTTACCACCTTGCTTTTTCTGAAACATGAAGGGGGATTTGCTGCCAACGAGTATTGCCTCAATTTTTTTCGAATTGGCAATGCTTCTTGGGAACAAATGATGGCAATAATTGGATTTACAAGCGACAAAAGACAATGTTCATGGACTCCAAAAACTGGGGACATCCGCACACAATTACTGTCCCCATTTGGAGAGAGACCCGAGCCATTGTCAGTTTGGATATCTACAAGTTCCGTGTCCCACCGGTTCCAAAGATGGCTCAACTTCCCTGGAACTGGCCACACTTGTTGCAGCTTGAGGTGGCCGTCCTGTTCTCTGCGACTTTGGCCTAGCTTGCCATGAAACTGATGTAGAGGAGCCGGGTCAGAAGTTTGGTTTAGATTCCAACAAAATAGGAAAACCCATGGTAAACCCATGGTAAACCTTCATGATGCATGCGATGCTGTGCCGAGGAGACCAAACGGCGTGTGGGTTCTCCAGGATACATTGCCCCGGAGGTCTTGCAATCATCAGCCTGTAGCCACAAGGTGGGGATGTGTCGTTGCTAAATGTTGTTAACTGGTAACTTTGCAGGTCAATATGAACCACTGGGGATGTTGGAACACATAAACGCGGACCTGGAGGCGGATGTTTTCGCAGCAGGAGGGACCTTGCACTTTGCGATGACCGGCAGCGCCCCTTTTATTGGGAAAGATATGGTGCCTTGGCTGGGTAGGGCGGGATGGGAATGAGGAATCTCAAGTGGTTTATATAAGATGTTATAAGCCATCGATAGCCCGTTTAGAACTGGGGAGATTCCAGATATGATATATTTCAATATATTTCAATATATTTCAATATATTTCAATATATTTCAATATCATTTGGTTATACTGTGGCTGTATGAACCACTTAGGGCAATGGACTGCCATGGTGGCCATGGTGCAGGATGTGGTAGACCGTTGCCAGGCGACAACGCTTCATAAGACGATGCATGAGGAGGCCGGGGGGTTTTTCTACCGAAATCCCTGGGTGTTTTTCAAGGACATCCAGATCTCCAAATGGTGGGGTTTTCATGGGGTTTCAATATTTAAGTGTTAATTTCATGGTAGAGTACCCTCTGGTAAACTGTTACATAACTATGGAAAATCACCATGCTATTAATGGGAAAATCCACTATTTCAATTGCCATTTTCAATAGCTATGTAACAGTCATTACCAGAGGCTAGTGGAATCTATGTGTCAATCTTGTAAACCATGCTGGATCTTTGAATCTGTGACTTTGGTCCACGGAATCTATGTGCGTTTGGTCCACAGCTCTGAACGTCGCTTGTCCGGACTCTCCAGCTCTGGTCCCAGGTCTACTATGAGGGAGTTGACTCCGTTGGCCAGGGGGCCCACTGTTTAGATCCTCATCCATTTTCATAGGGACTTATATGGATTTATAATGATCTATATATATATATAAATAATATATCCATCATGTTCGAATTCATGGAATGATCGGAAGCCATATCTATCATATTTTCACTGTGGTACATAGGGATTAGCCTTTTTAGTTTAAGCCTCAGCTGCCTAGGGGCACCACGTCAACCTTAAGGTGACCAGTGCAAGAAGTTCGCGCTTCTTCTCTTGTCGGACTCTATGCTCTAGTGAGCAATGTGGACAATTGTGGACATACGGTGGATGGAAGAAATCCTGCACCAGTTGATAGATGGTTTATCCCATTATTTATAGGGTTTCAACCATCCAAGGTGGTGCAGGATATCTTCCATCCACAGTAGACCCTGAGGCTTCATTGCAGTGTCATGTTTGAAAGCTTCGAAGCTCCAAGAAACCATTTCTCAGGTCCAAGACACCCGAGGAGCGTCCGTCTGCCCAACAGGCCGTCCGGCCAGTGACCTGCCGTTGCCCGGGGCCATGGCATCCATGGCACTGCAGGCGTTACGGCACGGATGGTTCGGGCGACGCGTGGAGGACGCGCACGTGAAGTCTGTGCCTTTGTGGCCTCCTCAGAGCCTCAGGTTGCACCGAAAATGGCAAGTTCTGCGACCAAAATTGGTTTCCAGTTACTGCTCTGTGAAAAAGGCCTGCCGGCCGTGCAGTCTCGAGTTCAGGACCGGGGGTTCTTTTTTTGCTGACCAGATCCTCCACAGTGTTTGCGAAATTCTGGCAACTGAAAACACACCCCCTGAAGAATTTATAGATGATTGTGAAAGTTTGCCTGCAAACTGCATGACAGTGTAGTAAAGGTTTAATTAGGGTGGAGGGTGGGTCCTGCCGGAGTGATGGCCCAAATGCCGAGCTCCCAGGGATCAAAATTTTGATCTCGATTTGGGCCACCCGCTGTCGGCATGGCACTTCCTCCAGCTGCTACCGTGAGTGCGGTGACCGACGTTGCGGGCTTGATCGATTTGATGGGGATGCAGGACGGGGTCTGGCGAGGCTTTGTCGGTCAGGTGGGCGACCCTGGTACCAACATCGGCCACCTGGCTGCTTTACCAGCACAATTGATTTCAGCGGCCTGCTCCCATGCTACCATGCCTGACGGGAGCGCCTTTGTCCCCATTCATGCCTCTCAGGTGGGGCTAGTTTGGCGGGTGGCAAGGAAGCATGTGTTTTTAGCCAATGGCGGTTTGGAGGCAGACTTCCAAGACGTCGAACCTTGGGACTTCGTGCGGAATCCTGGACAAGCAGCAGCACCAGCAAGTCCACCAAAGGCATCAACAGTCAAGGAGAACGTTTTGAAGATGGCCAGCCTAGTGGATCAGACGGATGAATCTGAGCTGTTGCCGGCTAGCATGGACAAGGTGCAGGAGTGGACGCAGAGGTACATCACGTTGATGGGAGCACCTCCAGAAGAGGAGGAGGAGGCGACAGATGCCCAGCTTGCAGCACTCCACAAACGGACTGTGTTGCTGGGACACCCTCCTTACGTGGATTTCTCAGTTTGGACGCCGTTCGGAAGACGTTCACTTAGGTCCCAAAAGTTCAGGACTTATGTACCCCTTGGTGATGGCTCCTACATCATCAAGGAGCTGCCAGGCCCACAGAATTTGACTCAGTGGATGGCGTGCTGGAGGGTTTTCAAAGTGGCGGCATTGGCACTGGGCATAGTCAGCCTGGCAGCGTTGCAACAGTACGAGAAGGCCATTGAGAAGCTGACATTGCAATGGCCGTTGGCTTGGGGCTTGATAGTTTTGGCAGATGATAAAGGTCGTGCCGAACGCTTGGAGAAGATCAGGCGCAATGTCATGATCGACCAGCAGGCGGGCAGGGTGCTACCTTTGGATTGGGACGAACAAAACCCTTGGTCAGCCTGCTTCAAGTTGCTGGCCAAGGACGAGCAATATTGGTCAGAACAAGTGAGGCATCCTGCAGCAGCATGGACGGCGGCAGGGAGTCACGGAGTACCTGTAGCGCCGGCTGAAGCCATAGCTGCAACTCATGTGGTTGGGGGCTCTGACGTTTTGCAGGCGCCCAAGGAAGAAAAGGATGAGAGGAGACGCCAAGCAAACAGAGACAAGCGGTCAGCTCGTAAAAAGAGACAATGGGAAGATCGAGAAGAGCTGCGCAAGTTGAAGAGCCAGAGATCAGACTCGGACAAGGGTCAGGGCAAAGGACAGAACCAAGGCAAGGGGAAGTCGAAAGATAAAACAGGAGCAGAAATATGCTTCTCATGGGCGCAGGCCAAAGGCACGTGCGCTGATGTACCCGTAGGAGGGGAGTGCCGGGGCAAAGTCCGTCGGGCACATAAGTGTCAACTCTGCCTGTCACCAGGCCATAACAACAGCAACTGCCCACAGAAGTGAGCAGCTGTGAGGCCAAAAGGTGCTGTCTTCTCACCCGGGTTTTTGCCTGGGGATTCAGGGAGACGGGTTGGGCGGGGTCATAGTTGACATGTCTTCACATTTTGTCGGTTGCATTTCATTGGACAGGGTTTTGAATTGAGTTGAAGTTTTATTTCATGACATGAAGTTTCATTTCATTGGTGCATGTTGACCGGCAGTGCATTGAATCTGAACCGACTTGAGGCTCAAGCCGCAGGGATGGAGGAGGACAACGTAGACTGGGACCCTGATGACGTCAGTGTCATCCAGGGCGAATGGCATCCTCAGGCGCTTGAGCTGCTGCGGTCGACGGGAGACTTCGCAAAGTATAAGGAGTCCCGAACCTTCAGGTTTGTGCACTTGTTCAGCGGGGCCAGGGACGTGCTGAAGCCGGCGTTGGAGAAGGCAGCATCCAAGGAGGGGTTGCGCATCAAGGTGGAGTCCTACGACAGGGACGGGCCGCAGAAGCAGAACCTGGCAGAGGACAGGCCGTACATGGACCTGCTGGAGACGGTCGACACCATTGATGGAATGCACGCCGGGTTTCCATGCGGAAGCTTCAGCATGGTGCGCAACAGGCCAGGGGGCCCACCGCCGGTAAGGAGCCGGGAGTTTCCCTATGGCCTCCCGACGAACGATGTCTTGCAGCAGAAGGAGGCTGACACCGGCACAGTTCTGGCAGTTCGGTCATCTATGTTGGCCTCCAAGGTGTTGGACAACCACCGCAAGAGGAAGGTGGGCGAGGTGGCAACATTAGAAAATCCACCGGGCTCAGAAGCCGGCCAAGACTGCCCTGCATGGCTTCTTCCAGAAATCGTGGACTTCCTGAAGGTTTATCAAGCACAAAATGCATTTTTCAACTCATGCATTTACATGCAGGGCAGGCACCGATGGCTCAAGCCAGCACGTTGGTCAGGCCGACTGCAGGACCTTGAAGAGCTGGCGGGAAAGTGCGCCTGTCCATCATGGGTGGTCCACGAGATTCTGAGGGGCAAGGACAAGACATCAGCTGCAGCAGAATACCCGGCAGCTCTGGCGGAGCGCTATGCCAACTTGGTCATCAAGGTCTTCAAGCAGAACCTGCAGTTGGAGTTCTGGAGGTACAAGCTGCAGACCAAGGAAGGCGAGGTGAACAAGCTGCAGAAGAACTGGGTGAAAAGTAGGGAGGCTAGAACGCCACCTCCCCCCAGCACGGAAGGAATGGCATCGTCATCGAAAAGAGCCTGGCAGGTCGGGGACATATCCAAGGACTTGATTCCCCGGCCAGATCTGATGTCCAAGAGCATTCCGCACTACGCCTCCAAGTGGGGGATGCGGGCTTGGATGCAGCGCTGTCTGCAGCGCGGCTCTGGGTACGGAGTAGTGCAGCTTGGATGCGTGGTTTTAGCCACGCTGACACAGAGTATGAAAGAACAGAGGAATTCAAAAATGCATCAAGAAGAAAAACATCAAAAAAAAAAGAAAAAAAGCAAAATCAAAAAAACAAAGAAAAAGAAGAGCTGGAAAGCCAAAAAAAAAAAAGAAGAAGTGACATCCTTCAGAAAAAAGCTCGTAGTGAGCAACAGAAGGATGACCAGGGTTGGCTGGGCGCCGTGGCTGCGGCTGTGCTGCTGCTTGTGTCTGCTTTTGCCTGCCTCTGCATGTCAGGAAACCTGGGCTGATTTCGCTTCGATCTCAGCCCCATGGAATCCGTCCACTGAACTTTGTGGACAGAAAGCACCGCCTGATCTCGAAATGACCTCGGGCCTTTGGAAAAGCATTAGTTTCTCTACCGGCCTTCCTGGTATGGCAAAGACGCATATCAAAGGCCCCCCAGAACACCTCGACGTCACCAGTGGGCAAGCCATGTCGGCTGCCTGTCGACGTCGTGTGCGCTGTCACTCCGCCGTGCCGCTGCTTGTTGCTCCGCGGCGCTGGGAGAGGCTGCGCTTGCGTATAGATGGAGCACGTGAGATTTTGATTTCGAGGCTGCAGCAGTTTCTTGCAGGAATTGATGCCTGGCTTTTGCAGTCGCCTCTGTGGCTCATGTGTGTTGGGTTGAGTTTTTTGGGAGAGTTATGCCATTGGTTACTGTGGTTGTATGTTTGTCGGTACTATCCGGTCACCATTAAACCCCCCAGAAGACTTGTTCGACCTAAGCTGCGTAAAGTGGTGGTTCCCACTTGGTTTCAGCTACTCAAAAGAACAGGTCCATGGCGACAAGCATGCCAACGGTGCCTGTGTGACACTGTGGTCCAAAAAGCTAGGATGGTTGGTCCGCAGAGAATTTGTGGAATTAGAGGTGCTAGGGGTCTGGGCAATTGTTTCAGAGCGGCCCCTTTGAAAAGCATTGGCAGTCAAGACAATGCTCGGGTCCGAAAGTGCGTCTTTTTGATCCAAAACAGATGGAATATTCAGGTGCCAAAAACACCTGAAGTTGCGTTTCAATGTGCTGCAACGTCCAGCCCTCAGATTGCCAACGCCATGGATTCGCAATGCGCACAACCAGCCGGTCCAAGGGGACATCTTGGCAATAGGGTTGTGCATGCCGTCACAAGTTTTTTGGACAAATGGAACAGTCACTCTCAGTGCATGGCTGCCAAAATAAACAAGGAAACTGATGATGCTCACAGTGGAAAAGAAAATCATTTCGGATTGCCTCAGTGGGCTTGGAATCTCAGGGGTGGTATGCCTATGGGGTCCCGTGTCACGCGCAGAAAAAGACAAGAAAAGCAAGACAACAACAGTCTTGCCAGTGCCCTGGGAGAATTTTTGTCACAATGGCAGAAACAACACCCGCCAGCACGGAAAACACAGAAAACCAGTTCTACGGCGTCTTCCCAGGATTGGTACAAGGGGTCGAGCGATGATTACGACTATGGTTATTGGAATTACGAGGCCCCCCAAACTCATTCTGATGAGAATTTGGTTCAAACCTTGTTGACCTTCTTGAATACTTGTCAACAACAAAAAACCAAAGACGAAGAGGTGGTTGAACACTTGCAAAACACTCTCTGGGAATGGGAGCAAACCAAACGTCCTGCCCAACGCGCGAACCTCAGAAACAACTTTGGGGTTGAGCAGTCGGGAAAAACCACGGTCAGACCACAGTCGCAACCTCAGATCGCGCGCGGTCCGCCTATCAGTGCTGTCAACCCTTGTGAATGGTCAATGGCCATCAAACTGGGGCATAAGAATGCTTACATTCAACAAGTTGGTGACGGGAAACAGAGTGAGTACAACTTGGTGTGTGTTCGAAGCCTGGATGATTTATTGGAAATCCAAGACATGAGAAAAGCCATGGAATGTCTTTCTCCATTATCTGTTTTGATTGATGGTAAAGTTTCATTGGCTGAAGGTCGGCATGTGAAGGTGTCAGTTAAACGTGGCCCAAATAGAATGAAACTTGAAGAAATGACTTTTGCTTGCCTTGGTTTGGCTTCTTTGGCTCCCAAACCTAGGGATCCCAAAACTACCAATCTTCAGAAATATCAGCCTGATCCCAAAGTCTCCATCCGGGTCTGCGCTCCTGCTCAGTATCGAGAGGCCTTTTTGCCACAAGGGGAATGGGACAAAGCGAAGTCCATTTTGACCGAAATGGCCAACTGGAAAGTGACGCCCGTGTCAACCCTTGTCGGCGGAACATGGCAATGGAAAAAAGTAGGCAAGTGCCATACTCTTGTCGGCCACCTTCGTGTGAGCCCTAAGGTGGCTGCTGCTCTCGAATCTCAAAGCGGAAAGCGGGCGATTTTTGTCACAGCTACTGGGGTTGGGCGACGTCCTGAAAAGGTCAGATGGCTGCTCAAAGCGGCTTCCATGACTTGTGATAATTATCTCCGGCAAAGCATGAATGAGGCCATTGCTCGTGGCCAATCCTTGAAATTTCGGATGGGTGGAGGTTCGGATATTGGCATTCTGTATCTTCCCACTGATAGCATACCCAAAAAGAATATCCACGTTCATATTGACGGTGTCCCGAGAAGTTGGGACGCCACGCATGTCACGACTTTCATGGAAGAACAAGGGTGGGAACAAGTTGTGCCCATCACCTGGAGAAATTTCCGTCGCCAGGTCAAATGGATCTTGAAAGCTCAGCCTCCTGATGATCCTTATGATCCAACCAATTCCAATTGCACTTGGCATTATGTGGACGATGTTGACCAAAGTTTAGAAATCCATGTCACTAAGGCGGAGGGTCGGTTTCCTAAGCCTCAGCATGTGCTGCCTGCCACTCCTCCAAAGCGCAGGTTCGAAACACAGAAACGAGCTCATGAGGATCATGAAGTTCTTGATACACAGATTGATGAACCTGAAAACAGTGAAGAAGATGAAGAGGCCGTTGAGGGTGATGGCAACGGCCAAGAGAAAGAACGCCCCAGAAGCCGAAGCCCAGCTAGGGTTAAGCCGAAAAAGTTGGACTTCAAAGAAACCACGGAAATGATCAAACCGGAATGGGATGAAATTGCTGATCTTATCAACAACAAAGGTTTTGAAGAAGTTGATTTTGGGGGAAACGGAGATTGCGGATTCAGGGCCATTGGCTGCGCCTTGGATTACTACAAAGATCCTACCCAAGTCAGGACGCCAGAACAATGCCAACGTGCTGGCGCCAAACTCAGAAGTCAGGTGGTGACCCACTGCCGCAAACATGAAAAGAGCTTCCTTCCCTTTTTCGCTCCTGATCCTGAAACTGCTAACGAGGATCCTACTTTGCAATCACAATCCTCGTTTCAAGATTGGCTCGATGCTATGGGTCGACCTCGAACCTGGATTGATGGGATCGCACTGAGGGCCCTGTCCATCAAAACGGGTCATGTGATTGTAATTTGGAAGAAGGAAAACAAGAAGGCGCCGTGGCGGCGTACCACGTTGGCTCCTACCTTTGACCAAGGATGGGCCAAAGCTGCTAAGGGAACCCAGCCAATTGCTGTCCTTTTGAAGGATGATCACTACACTTGGCTCAAACCTCCACAAAAAGAGACCGTGCCCAATGCATGGTTAAAAGAAACGGTTTTTCCTGCCAGACATGAACTTCAAGGCGCTGCCAAGTCTTCGTCAAGCATGGCCACTCCTTCGGTCCACACCATTTCGTTGCATGGTAAAAGTGCTAGGAGTTCTCGAAAACCCACGAATAATTTTAGTGATATGCCAACACCTTCTGCTCACACCATTGTTGGCCAGAACATGTTCGACTCGCCTTGTAAAACTAAGGCTTCCAAGCAACGCTCCAAAGGTAAAAAAAAGAGTCCTTTGAAGCGACTCAAACAGATGAGTCGAAGTCACACCACCAAGGACGACAGGGCACCTAGTACTCAGGTTGCGTCCGGGGACCCGGCCGCTATCACCAAGGTTCAGTGCCCGCATTGGAGTCAGGCCCATGCCTGGCTTCAGTCAATTTGCCAGGGTGTGCCGGACCAAGACTTGACTCCGGATTCACTCGGAACGCTCCAAGGTTGTTTGCTTGCTTGCAGTGCTGTCACTCGTGCGGTCCATGCTGCAATGGAAAAAGTGTCTGATCCTGATTTTGCCCCTACGGCATTGACAGTTGAAGAGGACGCCGAAAGACTGGAAACTCCAGACGAACCTTCTCCTCGGAAAATCGCCAAAAAACGAACCAAACAGATCCCCAAGAATGCGGCGGAAGAACAAGCCTTGTTTGAGAGATATTCTTGGAAGTGTAACTTGTGTGATTTCGCATTTTCGGCCGCTTGCCTTGGTACGTGGGCTGCCAAGAAATCTAGGCACATTGAAAGATGTCACAAAAATGAAAAACATTTGATCGCTGATCGGAGAACTCAGTATCCTTTGGTTAAAGCCACCAAAGTCAAATGGGCTGCGCGGGGTTGGACATGCAGCAGGTGCGGGCTGGGGTTGCCATGGCTTCCGTCTAGTCAGTTGCAAAGAAGCAGAGATGCTCACCTTGCAAGCTGTGCTCCTGACCTCACCCCCGAACAAAATCGCATCATTTTGCGTAATGGCACCGCTGCTGTTGACATCAACTACCGGGTGGCAACGCGGAAAAAAACAGGTTGGCATTCTGCTGAGTGGCGTAAAGAAAGAATTCAAAAAGCCAAGTCTCAAGGTCATGAACTGTCTTGCTTCGTTCCTGATTCTGGTTTGTTAAAAAACCAATTTTTGAGATACACCTGCAGACATTGCAAACGAGTGCAGGGCGAAACCGATTGTTTTACTCGTAACAAGTGCATCAAGAGAAAATACCCCAAAACTCACATTTGGCGCAAAGTGCGGCTCACCCATGATCAGTTTGTGGGCCCTCTGGTCAAAATTTGGGGTTGGGGTCAGCAGCAGGTCAAAGATATGGATGCTCTCACCAACAGTGTGGGAGCTAACCCACGCCTCAAACAAAAACCGGTGCAGGCTAAACTTCCGAACCCTGGCAGCAAAGCTTGGTTCAAAAATCTGCCTGCTGATACGGGTCAGCAGCAGAAACCAGTCTCCAAGGCCAAAAATTGGCAACGGGATTTGTGTGATGAGGGCGTTGAGCCAAATCCAGGACCTCGAGCTCATCGCAGACGTTTGACAAAACTTAGGATTTGCAGCGTCAATATTGCAGGTAAGGAAAACTTGTGGAGCGCCCTGCCCCACCTGAAACCTAAGGAATTCGATGTGGTTTGTCTTCAGGAAGCCAACATGTCTGATGTCGAAATTAAGGTCTTGGCAGCTGCTGCTTGGAAATCAGGTTGGGTCACCTTCGCTTTGTCCAACAAGTGCTGCCGGGGAATGATAACTATGGTTGGTAAACACCTGAAAAGTCGCATTGCTCACCAACTGGATACCTCTGGGGGGCAGTTGTTAGGCGTTCAGGTCGGTCACATGTGGGTGGGCAACGTGTATTGTGCCCATCATCCTGAAAGAGAAGCTTTCATGACGGAAGCTTTCCAGCTGTGTCACTCATGGTCCCCGAATGTTTGGACTCTTGTGGGTGATTTCAATGACACCCCTGAGGAATCGCCTTTGGCCTTTGGCCTTACCTCTTCAGGTTACAGCTCTTGTTTGCCACCTCCTGGGGTTAGCAGTAGATGGGAAAGCCAACGGGTCATCGATTTTGCGATTTGCAACGGTATTATCTTGGACTCCACTTTGAAGATGTGCCCCGAACGTTACAGTGATCACAAAGCTTTTTACTTTGACGTCAAAGCTGAAGGTGCAGATGGGGCTCTTACTAAGGTTGTGATGGTTCCAGCAAACGTGTATTTGCCTCAAGATACCGACCGAGGTATCGATTGGACAGAACGCCTGGCGGATGCCTGGCAGCAAAATAGACAAGTTTGGCAGGAATTTAAAGTGAAAGCTGAACAAGAAATCCGCGAAGCCGACAACATGTCAGAAGCGGTCAAACAGCATAAAAGTGACCGAATTTGGGACCACCTGAATTTGTTACTCGAAACGTTTCTTCAGAAACAGGCTCAGTGGGCTCAGGAACATGAGTTGCCCATGCGGCCCTACAGAAAAGCTAAACGGGCCAAGGGGTCCATCCCCACTTTTCGTCATGTCCCTTTGGTCATCCACCAACCCCACGCTCCGAATGCCTCAAATCAGCTTCGCACCTGGATGCGGTTGTGGGGAAGGCTCAGTGAGGCCGAGAGAAGACAGCATCATGACAACACTGTTGAGAATTCTAAGGATCTTCAAAAGCTTTGGAAGCGCATCCGCAGATGCCCTCTGTACCAAGCAGGAATGACTGCCAAGGATGCCGAAACTGAGGTTCAGCGTCAAACCGAGGCGAGCCGGCAGAGCAGACTTAGCAATTGGAAGGTTCGCTTGCAGCAAGATAACGCTCAGGTCTTTCGATGGGTGCGGTCCTCCGAATCGGCGCCCACTGTTACCTTGTATGACGACGAAGTCGATCCTGACGACCCAGCTAGCATGGACAGCTCTGGTGCCTTGGTCAAAATCGAATCCTTTTGGCAGAGAGTTTGGAACCGTGACAATAGCGATGCTTGGACTCCGCAGCAATATCTTCGTGAATATGGCGGGGCCCCTGAAGTCGAAGAAAATTGGAGCCCTGTTTCTGCACAGGCTCTTAGTGCCTCGGCTGCTAGACAAAGGCACCGAGCCGGGGGCCCTGACGGCTGGACTGGCAGCGAAATGGCAGCTTGGCCGTACAACATGTGGGCTGACCTGGAATTTGTGTTTCAAGCCTGGGAGCAACTGGGATGTTTCCCAAAGTGCTGGCACTTCATGACACAGGTGATGCTCCCCAAAGGAAACGGTCAAAGGCTCTCTGACAGCGCCACCCCGACCAGCAAACTTCGACCAATAAGCCTCATGTCGTGTTGGTGGAGAATTTATGTGAGTGCCCGCTTAGATGGGGACATCGAAAGACGTTGGTTGGAATCGCATTTGTTGACTACCCAGGCTGGAGGTAGGCGCAATCGAGACAGTCAAGGTAGCTTTTGTGAACTTGCTGAGGGATTTGCCAAAGGAGCCTATGTGGGATCATTAGATCTCTCCAAGTGCTTTGACCATGTGCGCCCGAGCTTGGCTTGTGATACTTTAGTTTGGAAAGGTTTTCCCCGAAAATTGGCGGCTGCTATTCAGAAAATTTGGGAAGGTCAATTGCGTATCCTTTCGTGGAACAAAGAAGTGTGCCCCCGAATCCAAGGTGTGGGTAGTAGCATCCCGCAAGGCGATAGTCTTTCGCCGAGAGTTCTCAATTTGATCATGAGTATGCCCATGCGTCATATTGTGCAACAAGAGCCTGACACTTGTCACGTTGTTTTTGTCGATGATAGATCTTGGTGTTCTCCCACCTTGCCTTCCTTTCTGAATGTTCTCCATCTTTGGCATGAACACTCGGCAAAGCTGGGATTCAAAGAAAACAAGCTTAAAAGTCAGTTCACTCACAGGCAGCCTACCAAGCGTCAAGATATGATGCAGTTAGAAGAGCTGTGCAATGGAGTGACTGAAAACCTTTTTGCCTTAGGCGCTGCTATGGGTTTTGGGTCCATGCTGCCTAAGGAACAAGGCCGCATTGAAAAGGCAATGGCTTGTGCTGCTAAGGTTCGTTTGGCTCCTATCTCAGCAGCTCGAAGATCGTTTGTTGGCGCACTTGCCGCAGGTAGCAAAGCAACTTACGGGTGGTTGGTCCGTGCTCCCCCTGGAACCGGGCTCATGTCTAAGTTGGAAACTCGTCTCCGAAGGGTGGGCTACTGCCATCGCATGTCCTCTCCTGCGCTCATTAGGTTGGTGATGGGTCACCCAGTGGACATTCAGTTTCAATCTGGTGCGGCGCTCATCGGTGCGGTTCATCGCACTGTTCGTCGGATCCGAAGAATCTTCAGTGATTGGGACCTCTCTGGAGGTCCGGCTCAGAGAGCCAAGAAATGGCTTCAGTCTCTTGGATGGTCATCTGTGGTGCCTTGGGTTTGGCAACACCCTGCATTCCATTTCAAGCTTAGTCTGAATCCTAGCTCAGAAGACTGGTCTGATGATTCTGAGTGGATCGCTCATCTCCTCCGCGAGGCATGGAGGTGGCATTGGTGGCAAAAGTACATGGCATCCCAACGTCATGAACTGGTTGAATTTGGGGATAGGGAGTACCCAAAGTTGCTTCTTGAAAACACTCGGAAAATGACTTCGGGTGCCAATAAGAATGTTATTGCTGTTTTGACGGGTGCATTTGTGTCTCCGCAGATGCGGACAAAGCAGGCTGACGATGTTCAGGAAAAGTGTCCGTGGTGTGACGGCTGTGGTCATTTTCATCATGTGGCATGGGAGTGTCAAAATTCTCCTCAGGTGCGAAGTCGCCCGGTTATTCCTCAGGATCCATTAGTGCGAAGATTTGGTTGGGGTGATAATCAGGTGGTGCAACATTTGGCTGCTTGCCGTGACCTGCTCCTGAGGTGCAGGTACGGTGGCAACTAAGGTGGCAGTGCTTTGCGGGTGGTGGGCCCTCTGCTGCGTGGTGCAGCGGAATGGTGCGGCTTTGCTGCGCCGAGTGGCCGCTGCCGTTGTCTATGCTGCTGCAGCAGCGCAAGGAGAAGGAGAACGAGTTCTACCTTGGGGGCATGCGCAACCCAGATGTATCAGTCTCCAAGCTGCACATGGTGGCCAGCGTGGGCATGGACATCAGCAGGGCGTGGAACAGGTTCATCAAGGACAACCCGAAGGCCTTGGACATTGCAGTGACTTATGGGGGGCCTGACTGCAAACCCGACCTGGAGACGGCCAACAATTGGAGGGCCGCTCTGGAAAAGATGCTGAAGGCCAAGGAGTTCGAGGACGTCATCATCAGGGAGGACTATGAGTTCCGAACCCCGCTCAACACCAAGTTGCTGGCGGCCTGGCAAAGGGTGACCCGAGACCCGGAGGTGCATGTGGTCGATTGGGCGCGTCGTGGGGTGCCCTTGGGCATGAACAAGCGCATCGACACTTGTGGCATCTTTCCAGCAGCCCGGGACGAGTACATGGAGCATGGTGATGCACCGCCCCTCGAGCTGATGGAGAACACCCGTAACTACACCAGCTTCTACGACCTGATGGATGCGGCCAAAGAGGAAATCGGCCGATATGTGGACAAGGGCTTTGCCATCGTCAAGGACATGGATTGGATCGCTGGCAGATTCAGCTCAGGCACGGTTTCCAGAATGGGGCTCATTCAGAAGGTCAAGGACGATGGGAGAGTGAAGAACAGGGTGATAGTTGACATGCTCCGCTCTGGCGGCAACTCAAGGAGCTCAGTGCCTGAGAGGTTGATCCTTCCCCGCGTTCAGGACGTGCTGCAGGGCGCAAGGAGGCTGTATTCATTCCAGGACGACCTGAAGGCATTGGCAGAACGAGAAGGGTGGATGCCAGAGAAGGAGGCTGACCTCCACAAGTGGGAATTGGTGGGAGCAGATTTGGCAGACGCCTTCTGCCATTTTCCGGTGGACAGAGACGAACTGTCAAATTGCATCTGCCCCGGGCTGGAACCAGGCCAATTCATCTTGTACACGGCGCTGCTCTTCGGCTTCAAGGCAGCCCCACTTCTCATGGCCAGGTTGGCGGCAATGTTCACGCGCTTCCTGCAGAGCCTCTTGGCAAAGGGCGAGGGCGTCATTCAGACCTACATGGATGACCCGCTGATCTTGTTGGCGGGAACGGACGCCAGGAGAAACCGCACCCTGGCCTTGCTGCTCTACAGCATGTGGGCGCTGGGCATCAACATCGCCTATCACAAAGGCGAACGAGGGCTTCGAGTGACATGGATTGGTGTCGTCTTCGAGCTGGACTTGGAGCGGGAGGTGCTCAAGCTGACGGTGTCCCGCAAAATGGCGAACGAGCTTCATGAGAAGCTGAAATCCTGGGAAACAGGCATGATCAGCCTGAGAGACCTCAGGGCGACGACCGGAAGACTCAGCTGGCTGGCCGGGATGCTTCCGAGATGCAGGTGGGCCGTTTCCATCCTCTACGCCGTGGTGGCTGCAGCCGAAAAAGACGCAAGAGACGGCACGGAGGAAGCAAGGGCGGCCAACAGGCCATCGGATCAGAGGCCAAAGCCCTTCCTGGTCCCTGCCGCCCGGGTCAAGTTACCACGCCAATGGCTCGTGACGTTCCTGGAGCGGGCCGAGCAGTTTATGCTGCGCACGGAGGCGTTCTACCCCATGCACCCGGACCTGGCCATCATCACTGACGCTTCTCCCCAAGGTGTAGGAGCAATCCTCTGCTACGTCAACTTGGGCCGTGGGGAACTCATCCCATGGGCAGCAATGGAAGCCCCAGTGCGCAAGGAAGACACGGACTGGCTGGGACTGGAGTTTGGTGAGGCCTCTTCACAAGGGGCCCTCGAAGCATGGGCAGTGCTGCTGGCGGTGCGCATGTGGAAGACTCGCCTGCGGCAAGTGCCACTGCTCATCAAGTCTGACTCGACGGTGGCGCTGGCAATCGCGCAGAAGCTTTCTAGCCCCTCCCCCACAGTCAATTGGGTAGGGGCTGAGCTGGCGTTGCGCCTCGAGTGGCTGGACGTGCCCAAGCTCATCGTGCACCACCTGCCGGGGCGCTTCAATGTAGAGGCAGACTGGCTCTCGCGACCACACGAGCGCCCAGCCGAAGTGCCATGGGCGTTGCGAGGAGTCAAGATTCAGAAATTCGAAGGGGAGGCCAGGCGGCGTTCCCAAGTGCCGCCCCCCGGCGTTGCCCCCCAGATGTGGGGTGCCAAATCTGAGACCATCTTGCAAGCTTTCGAGAGCTTGTGACAGACCTGCAGCTGGCAAAATGGAGCATGGCTTCACAGCTGCGGACGTTGTCTGGTCACCAGTGATAGCTGCTGAGATAGATGGTCAAGAATTTGTATCAGGTTTATAGGCATCGAGCTTGCATGTCCGCAGCCATTTGGGAAATCCAGCAACATGGAGTTGGTAGCTACGGAGTCGCTACCTGCCACGGCCGACAACGACTGGCCATGGGCGCTCCTTTTCGTGCTGGTGGGTTGGATGGGCCTTCTAATGGCCCTATGCAAGGGCTGCTGCAAGCTCTGCCTGACACTACAGGCCACGCGCAGAGCAATGGAGGGAAGCCGGGCGTGGGAAGATCAGACATGCCCTTGCTGCAGTACATGTGTGGGGAAGCCTCAGTGCGTAACTAGCTTTCAAAATGGAGAAATGGCAGGGCCATACACTGTCAATGTCTGAAGAATGAATTCTTGTCTGTACATACAGCGGTGCTAATTCATGCAAAGACGTTGGGGTTGGTGACTACGGGTACGTGTGTTGAATGAAATGAGCACGACTTTTGAGCCTGCTCAAGAAAATCGGTCGACAAGATCGAAGTGATGATCTGAGCCATTATGGCATTCAGATCATTCAAGTGGGATGCTCCTTGACTTGTTGGTTCAAAAGGATTTCAAACAAGGAATACTCATGATCATTTTAGCTGGACATGGCCTGACGGCGTGCTCGGAATGAAAAACTACTGGAAAACACATTAAAAGGAGCACTGCCTAAAGGCGCACTCAAAGATGCATTCGGAGCACTACGAACGGTCTCGCTCCACCCAATCCTCGCCGGTGGCAGCAGGAGGCCGAGAGGGGGACCTGTGGCCAAAGCAAAGGTCAACAACACCAGAAAGGCGCTGCACATACCCAACTCACAAAGGCAGCCCAGATCTCGTCAAAGCCATGGCATGCAGGGCAAGGCCGATTATGTTGGATATGGGGAGAGAGGCCTCAAGGCCACCTGCGGTGCACCCAAGTTGTCCAGTTGGACGATGACAGGGGCTGTTAACGTGGACCCCATGAAGTGGGAAGGGGTCAGGGAATCGAGTAACAGACCTAGAGAGCAGGAGACGGAAGGGAGCAGCGAGGGTCATGGACGGGCTGAAGGTGCTCCCAGGGTAGATGGCAGAAGAAAAGGCTCTATGGAAAAGGCCTTCGAAATAGCAAGCAACAGTTCGGACCTCAGGAAGGCTGTGGAGGGCCTCACAAAGAACTTTTGGGCCAAAAGTACCACCGCGGTCAAAAAGTCGCGGAGGCAGGAGGTGCTCAAGTTGGCCGAGATGGTTATGGGGCGGCTCCCAGTCTTCCCCCTAACAAAAGGGGGGGTAGAAGGCGTAGCAGCGGCATTAAAGGCAGCTGAACTGGCTTCTGGGGACCAGTATCTCAACGAGCTGAAGCTGATGCACGTGGAGGCAGGTCACCCCATCGAAGCCTGGCTGATGAGGGTGCTAGCGCTGTGCAAGAAGTCGCTCACAAGGAACAGAGGCCCTGTGAAAAGAGCGCCGGAGGTGACGCTGGAATCTATACCATGGACGGCCTGGAGTTTAAGGGGAGGCCACAAAGTGCCGCTGGCCACGTTGGCTTTTGCCTGGGGCGTGGCTTGGATGCTCCGGGAGATCGAGCTCTCACGAGTCAAATGGGAGCATGTCTCATGGGACATGGTCAAAAGGACCGTGAGGCTGTATATTCCGCAGTCCAAGGCGGACCAACAGGGCCTCGGAGTGGCCAGGACGCTACAGTGCTGCGGGGAATCACCTTGTTGGAGGGGGTGTGCCTGGTCCCTCCTGGTCAAGCTGAGACAACTTCGAGGCCAACTTGCTGCAGGCGACGGTAACTGCGGGATGTTCCTGAACAACAAGGGCTCAACGCCGACAAAGAAGGAAATGGTGGACAGTTGGAAGGAGCTGTTCAAGGTGGATGTGGCCGGCCACTCGGCCAGACGCACTGGAGCTATGGCGTACGTGCGGCGGGGCATGTCCATCAGAGACCTGGCCTACTTGGGCAGGTGGAAGTCGTCGGTCGTGTTGGTGTACGCGGAGGAAGCGCTGGAATCCACACCGGCAAACAGAGGCCTCAAAGCCCCTGAAATACAACGACCGATGGTGCAGAAGGAGACGCAAGAAGCTGGAGACAGAACCCCGGCTAGGCAGCGTGCACAAGTTGAAGAAGCTCCTTGCCCGCTGGTCAGACCCAAAGCAAACTCGCTATGGGTGAGGTCCACAGAAAGGGGTGGCAACGGTCCACTGCATCTGGTGGAGAATGCCGATTGGAGCATCCCCATGTTCCAGTGGACGTCGGCATGCGGGTGGGCATTCGCAAAAGCCTCAACACACGTGGCCTTCGTCACGAACCCTGGGTTTTCGTCCACAAGATGCAGGAAGTGTTCGACCATGGCAAAGCTGCGCGACGAGGTCAAGGAGGGTGTCAGGCCTGCGCAGCTGATGGCAGCTGACATGCTGCAACTGAGCAAGGCTGATGGCACCAGGACCCCAAACTGGAAGCGCAGCAGGTCCAACATGCTGCAGACTCCGCCCAGACAAAAGAGCTGAAAGCTTAGGGTGGAGGGTGGGCATGGAAAAAACCCACAACGGAACTGTCGTGAAAGTTTGCCTGCAAACTGCATGACAGTGTAGTAAAGGTTTAATTAGGGTGGAGGGTGGGTCCTGCCGGAGTGATGGCCCAAATGCCGAGCTCCCAGGGATCAAAATTTCCCACCCGCCCACACCTTGGATATTAATTCGAGGTGGAGGGTGTCAGGCCTGCGCAGCTGATGGCAGCTGACATGCTGCAACTGAGCAAGGCTGATGGCACCAGGACCCCAAACTGGAAGCGCAGCAGGTCCAACATGCTGCAGACTCCGCCCAGACAAAAGAGCTGAAAGCTTAGGGTGGAGGGTGGGCATGGAAAAAACCCACAACGGAACTGTCTTAATAGATTATTTATAGATTCTAGATGATTTTCCATGGTTTTCCGAGTCAAACGAGGGTTATTTTCCCATCAAAACACGTTGAGCCTTGAATTGTGCATGACTTACCGGAGGGTGAACTCAGAGAAGCCCGATGGTGCCAAGCTTTTCAGGAAAGCGCAAGGCTTCCACCGTGAAAATGGATAAAAGCGCAGGGACCTCAAGACCTGAGAAAGTCTAGGAGTCAAAATCTAGAACCTGCCCAAAACTATCCACTTGGGTGTGCGGAGAAAGGCGAACATAGCTATGGACCCGTCTCCAGATTCCCTTCCAGCATCAGATCCCTGCAGCCCCTAGCGCAACTTCATCACCACATACATCAGCAACAACAACAGCAACAAGGTCATCAACGGCAAAACGGCTAACAGCAGCACCAACAGCCAGAAAACTCAGACAGACAAAACAAGATCTTAAAATTATCACGTTCCCAACGTTTGCAATGATAAAGAATGGAACTTTGAGAACTTGATAAATTTATGGTAGGGTTTATCAAGAACTGAACCTTTAACAAGTTGATAAACCATGATAAACATAAAAATATGGTTTCCAAATGACCACAAATCATTACTGAGGTCCTGGACGGCCCGGCCATGGGGAAGACCATGTCGCGTCCGGCTGGCCAGCTTGATGAGGTAAAATTCCAGGTTTTACGTTTTTTTTTTAAAAAATATGGCAGACAAAAGGTTCAACTATCCAAAATGGTAGTTGAAGATGTTGAAGTATATTTAAGTATCAAACATAGCTGTTTAACCATCAACAATGATGGTTTAGCCAACAGTTTCGGGGATCTTCAGCGCTGAAAGTGGCACATGGTTCGAATGAATTGGGCATGGCTCAACATTGGTGAGACTTAGTGAATGAGTGCTTAAAACTTGTAGGACTCAGGAACGTACCCAATTTTGGTGTTTCAAGGCTCCACAAACTGCCATGCAAACAGGTGGTTGCGTGGGTCCAAGTGGGACATTAGATAGATAGAGCTAGTTGGCTGTTCATTTCACCAAAGGATCCAGAAACTTCCGGAGTTGTGACACCCCCTCCCACGCCAGAAAAATCGGATGGCGTTTGCGACTCAGTGTTTGATGTGCGACATGCCTAGGCCGTTCAAACATGGCCAGTATGGTTGGAAAAGGGTTGGACATTGTAATTTCTGAAGAGTTTTGTTGAACCGATAGATGCTGCATTCCCCAACATGTTTCACTACCCCGGAACCCCAAAATCAGACGATGATGAATTTTTCATCCTTTTTTCCCACAGGAAAACAGGTTGGTGGGGATCCTACTCCACTAAGGCTCCACCAAAATCTGCGCCACTCGGTTGGGAAAAGGGATGGCAGATGATGATGATGATGATGATGATGATGATGGTGATGGTGATGGTGATGGTGATGGTGATGATGATGATGATGGTGATGGTGATGGTGATGGTGATGATGATGATGAT